ACTGATAAAGACCTCCCCCTGCCAAAAAAAAGACCTTCCCAGACAAGTAAAAGCTAAAGGAGTTCATCACCACCAAACCAGAATTACAAGGAATCTTAGAGGGACTTCTTTAAGGCAAAATAAATAAATAAATAAATAAAATGTAAAATGGCAATAACTACATATCTATCAATAATTACTTTCAAGGTAAATGGATTACATGCTCCAATCAAAAGATAGGGTAGCTGAATGGATAAGAAAACAAGACCCTTACATACCCTACCTACAAGAGACTCACTTCAGATCAAAAGACACACACAGACTGAAAGTAAAGGGATGAGAAAAACATATTTCATGAAAATGAAAAAAAAAAAGCTGTGGTAGCAATACTTATACCAGACAAAATAGACTTTAAAACAAAGGCTATGACAAGAGACAAAGAAGGACCCAGTAGTCCCACTTCTGGCTAATTATCCAAAGAAATCCAAAATACTACTTCAAGGGGTCATGTGCATCCATATCTTATTGCAACATTGTTTACAATGACCAAGATGTGGAGGCAGCCTGGGCGTCTGTTGATGGAAGAATGTCTAAAGAGTAGGTGATACATATATACAATGGAATACTGCTTGGCCAGGGAAGGGAATAGGTTCTTGCCATCTGTGATGCCACAGTTGGACCTGGAGGGTATTGTGCTGAGTGAAGTTATGTCAGAAAGTGAAAGACAGATGCAAAGTGATTTTTCTTATATGTAGAATCTAAAGAACAAAATAAACAAGCAAACAAAACAAAAACAAAGTCAAAGACACAGAGAATATTTTGATGGTTGCCAGATGGGAGGGGACTTAGGAACGGTGACAAAGGGGAAGAGATTAAGTACAAATTTGTTGTTACAAAGTAGTCATGGGGATGTACCGTATTACATAAGGAATATAGTCAATATTGTAATAACTATGTATGGTGTCAGATGAGTACTATTAGATTTATTGGGGTGATAGATGGGTGGGGGCTGGGGACAGGGTGAAAAAGATGAAGGGATTAATAACTATAAATTGGTAGTTACACAATAGGCATGGGATGTAAAGCACAGGGAATATAGTCCATGATATGATAATAACTATGTATAGTGCCAGGTGAGTACTAGTCAGGGGGATCACTTCTTAAATTATATAAATGTCTAATCACTGTGCTGTACACCTGAAATTAATATAAAATAATATTTAATATCAACTGTAATTGAAAATTTGAAAAAGGGGGGAAAAGGTAAAGGTGAATAAGAGGTTTAAATTTCTAGGTATAAAAGAAACAAGTCATGGGGATGTAATGTACAACAAGGAGAATATAGTCAGTAATATTGTGATAGCATGGTACGATGTCAGATGGTTGCTGGACTTATGGTGATCACTTCTCTAGGTATATAAATGTTGAATAACAATTGTGTACACCTGAAACTAATATAATATTGTATGTTACCAATATTTTAATAAAATCTTTTTTAAAAAGGCTGAATTTATGGTTGGTCCAATCTGTACTGCTGTATGATTTTCTCCTGTGACCCTAGACCAGGTCAAGATGCAGAGGGTGGATAGATGTGTTATTACAGGATTTGACTTTTCCAAAGTAGGCAAATGAAAGAGTAGGAGAATGGAGTTATTGGCATCAGTCTAGGGGAAAATTTGAACTAACTTAGCCCAAGAGGAGAGGAAGTGGAGTTACATGGGGTTGATAGGGAGGAGGCTGAGAGATAAAGGGAGTGGAAGTCCTTATAAGGTTCAAGAACAGGTATAGTTGGAGTTATTGGGTGGGATGTTCTGGCAGATAGGAGAAAGGGTTCCGAGTGAGATGTTTCAATATATTATTCCAGTTGGAGCAGTTCCAGGAATTGACAAAATCAGTGTGTCAGGGGAGTAGGTGGCAGAATTGGAGGGTGCACAAAGTAATTAGAAATGAGGTCTGAGAAGATAACAGACTCAGGTTTTGGCTATATGTTGATTCACCCATGATAATGGCAGCATTTAGGGTGAAGAAATTCACCAGGAATTGGGTGCTAAAGTCTTTAATAAATGAAGGGAAATGACTGGGAGGTCCGTAGATGACTGCAGGAAGGAAGATTGGTAATAACCAATTAATGTGAGTCTCAAGGAAGTAGGGCTTTTGATACTATGGATGGAGAATTAATTGCCTGGAACCAGCAATGGGGAGCAATGCGGATGTGCGGCTTTCTTTCCATTCTTAAGGTATGTGAGGGCTGTTGGAGAATTAGCAGCTTCCACTTGAGAGAGTTGCCGAAGAGTGAGCTAAGTTTTCCTTAACGCCTCAGAGAGAAAATTCCTAAAAGCAATTCACAATAAAAGAAAGGTTGCCACCCTTGTGTTAATGCCACTAACACTTCATTAGATAAACTAGACTAATAGTGCTTCTTAAAGAGTGGACGCTGGACCAAATGCATTAGCACCACCAAGGAGATGGTTAGATGTATAAATTCTCAAGTCCTATCTCACAGCACTGAATCAGAAACTCATGGGGTGGGGCCCAGCAATGTGTGTTTTTAGAAACTTTCCAGGTAATTTTGATGAAGACTGAAGTTTGAGGATTCCTGGATTAGACCTAGCTTCCTCACATGGAGGGGCAGTGAAAAGAAAACACAGATTGAGAGAAAGAAGATTTAGAAGATAAGCATTTGATGTTTAAATGCATGACAGAGCCATGCATACTGCACAAAGGTGCAGATAGTCTCATAACAAAATCATGGTTCTCACCTTCACTGGCCTGCTCTAAGCCACCCAACAATCACAATGTATTTCTTGCTGTTTGCTCCTATTCTTCACTGGGGTAGTTCAAATCCTCTCCACTTTAAACTTTTAATCCTCGTTGGTCACTTGTTAGGTGACATTGCATCCTACTTCATACAAAACATACCCTTAATATAAACTTGAAAAAGGTCACAGAACATCTTCCTTTAGTTTAAGTACTTGAATTTCTAGGAACTAGCTGTGTGAATTGCTTTACCCATTATATACAATAAAATTGGTAAGTCCAAGTGACTTTTGTTGTTATTGCAACTTTTGTCATTCATTTATTGGGAACCTTCTATCAGTTGGGTTCATGCTTGGTTAAAAACATCTAGTGGAGGAGATAGGCAGATACAATTATTAACATTTTTAGATAAGTGTTTTAGCGGTGACAACTAAAAGAAATTTTTGGAGCAGAGAAGACAGAGCATCTAAGCTTGGCAGGAAGGGGTGTTTAGTAAGTTGACACATGTACTGAGTCTTGGAAGAGCAAGAATTCTTTAGATGGATGGTGGAGATGGGAATGGAGACCATGTCAGGCATAGGGAACAGCCAAAAGGATCCTCAAATGGTTTAACATGGGAAGACCTTTGGATGAGGGTGACCAGTAAGACATGATACTAGGTAGAATGGGATCATAAAAAGCTTATACCAAAGGATCTCAATGATAATGGGGGTCTACTGGAGGATTTTAAACAAGAGAATGGCATGATTAAATTTTCCTGAAGAACTGTTTTCAGTGAAGTTGGTTTTGGCATATGCACTTGGCTTATACTGAGGAACATTATAAAAACTTGATGTATTCATCGTAGGGGTGCCCTAAAAGACAGTGCTTTCTATAAGAAATCTCACATAAGAAATTTATTATCTATCAGTTTTGATTTTTTTTTTAAGGAAGTAGTATGTTTTCACATTATGGGTGATGTAAACACGTTATTGATTTCTCTCTTTGTTATGAACACAAGGAAGCTCAGGGCCATACAATTTTATGTCATATCTTTTCATTATAACTTTCTTTGTGGTCTTGAATTTTGTTTATATATGGTTTTCTTGGTTATTTTTAAAATTACATATTTTAATTTCTTTATGTGTTCTTTTAATTTGCCTAGAGATCTATGTAAAATGAAATGGGAGAAACGAATTCATCAATAAGACACAACCATATTTGCTTTCTTTGAATCATCATCCTCAGAGTGACGTCGAGTATGAGGTGGAGGGGAGGTGGCTATTAGAAGCAGGGAGGTCAGTTAGAAGGCTCTTCTAAAAGTCCAATTGAGAAATGGGGGAGTCTAAACTAAGGCCATAGTAGTGGGGATGAGAGGTGGATCTGAGAGATATTTAGGAGGTAGAATAGAAGAGAATTGGTAATGGAGCAGATGCTGCATGTGTGAAAGAGTGTCAAGAATGATTCTGAAGTCTCCGTCTTGTTTGCTTGGAGGGCAGGAGAGGAAGGTATGTTCACTATAATATGGAAGTCTGGAAGGAAACCGGGTATGAAGGTGAAGATGATATGGGACATCCAGGTGGACATGCCTATATCAGTTGGTCTGGAAGATAGAAGAAACCGTGCAATGAAAAACTTGGTATTCATGGAACTGAACGAGAGAGATCGTGGCAGAAAAGAGCAAAAGCAAAAGAAGCATGTATGTCAGAGTCCTGAGGATCATCATACTGATGAGGTGGAGGAGAAAGAGCTGGCAAGAAAATGAGAAAGAAAAGCAGGAGAAAACAAGAATGTAGGGACATGGGAACTGAAAGGAAGCGTGTCTAAATGGGTGGCAGTGGTCAACTGCATCTATTGCTGCTGTTAAGAGAAAGATGAGGACTGAAAAGTGTGTGCTTTTAGTCAGGGCTTGTAAATAATTGGTGACTTGAGTGGAGGCATTCAGTCATTCATTATTCAATACACTTAAGTGATCATTATGTACTACATTCTAATCGCACAATGATGACAGATTTGATGTGGTGGAGTTAAGAGTCAATAGAGTGTAAGGAATTTTAATTCATCAAGGTGGAGAATTCTGGAAGAAGAGTGAGTTTGGAAGGGAAGCCCAGTCTGCAGGCATTACTACCTAATAAACAGAAAGTATTAATTATTATTATTATTTTTTAGAAAATCGTCATACTAGATATGTGCACTAAGTTGAAGGGTGGCATTGCAATACTGTAGGAAAGTAGAATAAAATTATTTATGGACTGTGTTTAAATCAGAGAAAACAGGCTAAGGTGTTCAAGAACATCAATAAAACTTTATAACAATACAATTCATTACCATTGTTTGGATTAATATTGTAATAATTACACACTTTTTACATTATGAAAATAAGTCATAAATAGTGTAAAAATAATTCTGAAGATCAACTTCTCACAAACTAGGAACACTGTAAACAAGTTAAAAAAACAAATAAAAACAAATTAGAAATTGAACACAATGCAATTATTTCCAAACTGGAAATTGAAAACCACACGTATCTTCTGATTCAGCAATGTCAGCTGGAGAAATTATAATGAAATTCAAATGAGAAATCAAACAGAGAGAATTCAATCTTTCAATTATTTACACTACTGAGAAAAACAGGTTTGTGCCATATTTACAGCGATAAGACACAACATATTCTCAAAATAATCAATTACATGAGACTGGCCCACAAAACATTAAGAAAAATACGCAGCATAATCCTTGCCAAAATATTTCTTTTTTTTGCATTTTCCTCTTATTTTGTATTTGTGATTTTTTTGGCAATATAAAAATAGCTGCACATAGAGATGAACTTTAAAATGTAAAAAACACAAATAAAAATATAATATTTTCTAAAGGAAAATCAGATACATACATCTTTTAAAAATGTTACGTTGCATGAAACATTTACAACAGTATAAAGAATATTCACATAAATGTCAATATGTAAGACATTCTTTTGTGAATCCAATTTGTTAATATTGCTGAGATATGTGAAAATATCCTGCATTTTGAGAAATGGTACTTTCTTTGTTATCAAGAAATCGTAACAGGTCAGGTTGAAAAAGTCCTCCTATTGCCAAAGGGCAGCTCTGTCAACAAGCAGCACAGGGGATCTTACTCATTTAAATACACTCCAAAAAACCATACATGCCATTAAACTGTTTCAGCATTGGATCAGCAAAAACGAAATCCACTAAAAATTTAAGTTGGAAGGGTTATCTCTGTTAATGGCGTATAGTAAATTTAGCCAATATGAACATATTTCAACAAAAGTGGGAAGAAATAGGGAGTAAAGGTCAGTAGCATCATAATTGGTCAAACATGTGAATTCCACTAGGAATGAATGATTTTAATAGCCAGAATAAAACATATAATTATTCTTACTTGTTATTTATGAGAACATAAGATTAGATTGCTATGGACTTGACTTTCTAGAGATAACAGGGTTTTTGTTTTGTTGTTTCGTTTTGGCAGAAGTTAGAACTAAGTTCATTTTTGGTAATGTCAATCATTAATATAACTTGCTTATCAAGAAAGAGAAAAATATCAATATTTTCAGATTCCTGTGGTCACTTATTAGAAGATATTAAAACACCACCCACCACACAAACATGACTTACTTCTGGGCAAGATAATACATACAGGGGAAAAAAAAAGTGGTGTTAAGATTTTATGCTACCATAGAAACATTAGAAAAACAAAAACCTTGGAAAATTAAAGTCGTTTTCTAAGTGATAAAAATATAAGATACTGAAGACAATTTTTCCATAGGTACTGACATGCTGATTCAACCATTTTCCAAAATAGCAAAGGACATGTAGAATGAACTTTTGGATGCTTAAATTCTTACTGATCCATTAGAACATCATGCACAGAGAGTAAATTCGAGAACAGACTTTTCTGGGGATAGAAATTCAAGATATTCTCATGTTTCCTATAAAATCAAATAAGAAAGAAAAATTCTTCAAGACTGCTTTTCATAATAAAAATGAAAACTAGAAGAAAAATTTGGCATATTTGTGTGTTAGGTACAGTATGAATATATGCAGACTTGTCCAGCTCTGGTTTCGTCACACTTAATCACATCATATAAGCTAAAAGATGAGAATGAAAGCTGATAAAAGGCATATGGTATATGAAAAGAACATGAAATAAGAGGATCCATGATCCAAGTAAAGACACATTATCTACAGGTACACTGTTTTGTTTTGTTTTACATTAAGGAAGTCTGGCCATTGAGCCATAATTACAGCAAATTCAAAAACTTTAAAAACATAATAACACACTAACAGTTTAGGAATGCAATTAAACAGAGAAATGAAATTATCCATAGTAGAGTTGCACTGTCCATAAAGAAAAAGAATAGAAATACATCAGCACCAACATGAATGAAAAACAATTTTAAAGCTAAAACATACCAATTTGGTATCCTTAAAAGATGCTTATCAGAAATGACCTAATCTTGACTTATTTCCAATGTGTTTTTCATGTATTTTTTCTCAATCCTCTATCCAATAATATAAATTAAATGAAAGAAATCTAAGGAAAATATGTATCTGCCAACATGTATATAAGCAGATGTAATTTATTAGTTCATTAGGCAATTATTTGAGGGTTCTCTATACTGATGACAAAATGGGTGGTTGAAAATATTTTAGTAACCAAAAGTTTAAGATTATCCATAGTGATTAAGACCTAGTAATTCCACTGAACAAAGAGGACCACTTTCATCCCTTTGTTTCTCCCAAGGAAATAAATGTAATGGAAGTTTACAGCTTCCTTTAATCATGGAATAAAAGTCAACGTGGTCAAGTCAAAGCAAAAACCCAATATACACATAGGACAGCACAGTATTCTTAAAGGGCTGTATTTTTAAAAACCATTTTTTTTTGTACATAAAATCTTTTGAGGTATTATTCTCTTTTGAAGCTATGCAAGTTTTAAATAGTGATCCATCTTAATACCTGCTGTTCTAGAGGAGTAGAAGAAAAGACAGGTAGGATGAAATAAATACAGCCACCAGATTTTTCACAAATACACTACTGTTTGTTTTCCTGAAGAGACTGTAGTTCTACCTGTTTTAGCTCATTTTTCCAATCCATTTAAGACAAATTGTTTCAGACACTGAACAATACCTTATCCTAACCATGACATACAAGACATGGTTAGAAAAATGCCCTCTGTTGTTTCAAAAATGCCAAATTGGCTTCAGACTGTGGAATGTTACTAGAAATGTGACTGATTAGATTGATCTAATAGTTTGAACATCTTTCCAATCTTAAAAACTTAATGAAAATAAAAGAAGGCATTTTTTTATAATTGAGCATTTGGTTATATAACATGAAAGAGATCATAGATAGGGCTCTTAGGAATCTTGTCTTATAATTGTATCTTAACTGTTGTTCCCATAAGCCAAGGATGAACTAATCTCCCCTCTGGTGGTGAAACCCATGCATGAAACTAGAAAATTTCCCACAAAATGGCATTAAGTCAGGAGAAAAATCATATTATCCATGGGCTGAAAGAGTGACTACTCCTCATTGATAATGTTTCTCCTAATGGAACTCGACTTAGAATAAGCTATTTCAAAATATGCTACCAACACCTTACTGTGCAAAGAAATGCTCAGTCTAATACAGTTAGGTAACTTTTGAGCAAGTGATGAAAAAATACTCTCTTTTTGGCAACTATATTTCACAGCTTTCTGAGATTTCAGATTTGGTCTGCGCATAAGATAAACATTTAGAAATGTAAAAAAAAAAGATAAAGAAATCTAAATATAGACAAAACTTAGATCTAAATAGAACTACAAAAAATTGAAATGAGTTAATACTATCAAATGTGACCAAATCTTGACTTTATCTTAACTGATAATCACTATGTATGTTATAGTACTCATATGAAAAAAAAGTCAAAAAGTACTGAAAAAATTGTTCAACTTTGAAACTTTACAATGACTAAACTGAAAGTGGAGTTTCTTTTATACTCTTTTCAATTCAGAACAAGAGAGTACAAGTTAGTAAAAGGTCATCTTGACTCTTGCTACCAAGTTATTAGGATTTCAAGACTTTTCTTTTAAAAAAATTGTTCAAAACAATGTGACAAAAGCTGAAACAAATCTTTTCTTAGTATTCCTTGGACTAAGAAAGAAAAGAAAGTATTAAAAAGAATAGAAAGTATCTCTGTTTCTAGAACTTGTAGAAAATGTTGGAAATGGGTTGGCTCTTGAGGAGAAGGGAAGCTCTCAAATTAGCTTTGGTTAAAATTGTGGGATGAGCCTTCTTATATCTTCAGGAGAGGTTATTTCAACCAACCCCTTCTCAGGACATGTGATTTCTTCAGCAAACTGAACTTGGATGGGCTGTCCACACTGTTCATCCTCAAAAACAGGGGCTGCCATTCCAACGATCTTCTACCCAAAAGAAGTGCTGTAAGTCTCTGTCATTTTCCAAAGGCACCCATGTAAACAGCTGCTGGGATTCAATTTATTTTCTTCAAAAGTCTGCTGTTCTGGGTGCCTGCATTTGTAAACCTCTTTCCTACTTGGTCACACGAGAGACAGCACAGGATGCTGAACCGGTCCTCTTGCCTGGTCTTCACTGCCAAGGGCAGCCCAAGGAAAACTGCGGCACAACCAGCTCAAACCCTTGATATTTCAACCAAGGTGGCCACGTGGGCCCACAATATTGGAAGCTGTAGATCTGCAGTTGGGACTACAACTCCCTCAAAATATAAGACCATTTGTGTGCGTACTCTCCGCCACCTTATCTCTTTTTGGCAATAAGCCATGGTGTGACCCCCTTGAGATGACAAAAGAAATAAAAGCTCAGTTGTGGTCAAAGGATTCATCGAGTGGCATGCTAGCATCTGAAGTTGCATAACAACAAACAGGTTTGGCACACAGTCATGCGTTTTTAGTCAGTTTCAGGGGGGTGGTGTGGAATCAACGGTCATAGTGAAGGTGAGTAGGGATGTGGCGATAAACTCTAAAATCAGTCAGTGTAGTACATATTCATAGTTTTGAGTCCATATTTGGTCACAATTTCTTGTAAACTATTATTTCATGGCGCCTTTTGTCCATGCAATTAACAAGCCCAAAGTAAGAAAATAACAAGGACAATCATTCTCTATCAATGATACGTCCATATAAACACATATTTTCACATAAGATAAAGAGATAAGATACTGATCTATATTTTTTGCAGGCTTCTCACTAGTTTCACGTATTGCCCAATTTCAGATGTAAGCGAAAAAAAGACAGACATGTGTGCTACTGCAAACAGGAAGAAGTAGCTCTATGTAAACATATGTCAGACTTGTAAAATCTGCAATTCAATTTTCAATTATAAATATAAAAAGTGGACCATTATATACACAACTTCATGCTCGGAAGGTTAGATTCATCACTGCAGAAAAACAAACAACAAAAAAGACAAATATATAGAATTAGTGGTCTAGAACAAAAATTCCAAATTAACATTTATTTTAAGAAAACTGGTAGAACCCTGAATAGAGTGTTTTTGTTTTAAATCAATGAGTCAATCAATACATGTCCTATACATTACTTTTTTGAAACTCCAATGTCATCAAAATTTCCATCCTAGTGTCAACCCACATTTTCCTTTTGCTGCTTAGAAGTTTATAGTGTTTATTTCAGTAACTATTCTGGGAAAGCAGAAAATCAGGATTTTTAACATATATGTGCCACAGTTAAAATTGCCTTATTTATAACTTACATATTCTTCTCCAAGCATTACAACACTCTGTGGAAAAGGCTGAGGATTCTGACCTCAGCTGCACTGTTTATTTCACCACCACCTGACTATAATACTCTACTTCCATTCTTGTTTCCTCTTTTGTTTTGCTAGTCCTGCCTGGCTATGGATGGTGTGCAAGGTAAACCTGCCTGCTATCTGGTCTTCAAGATGTATTATAGGTTCCATTGTAATCGAAGGTTCCATAAATCTCTGGTTCCTTAAATCTATGGTTTGAACAGCCATAATTATTCAGGTTTCCCGAGAACTAAAGTTAAGGCTGAGAGAACTGAGGAACAATGGTCTTTGAGGTATAAACTTATAGGGCAGATCTTGGAGATGTTGCCTTTTACTCAAAAATAAAAATCAATAAGAAAACTAGAATGTCCAGTTCATTAATTAAATACATTTATTTTTCTCTTTCCAAGAGAAATAGATGCTATATTAGATGTGCTTAAGAGGCAGAAAATTTTGTGATCTTTAGAGATGGAGTTCACTCCGTGTTTACACATATTGTGTCCACTCCAGAAAATGTGCCAATAGGAAGAATTCCTTTCTCCAAACTCTCACTTATCTCAAATTTCAAACAGATGCATTTTTTTGAGTACCAATGTTTTGTAAATAATCTACAGAATTTTAAAGATTCTTTTCCTCCCCCAGATTTCAAAACTTAATTTAAAAATCTGTCACCTTGTTTTAGGAAGGTTCTGCTGAAAACCTTTCAGCCCTACATAGAAAAATAAGATTTAATGAAACATTAAAAAATATGAAGGCTAGGGGCTGGCTGAGTGGCACAGTTGGTTAAGAGTTACCTTAAGAGCGTGAGCTCTGAGCAACAGCGCCACCGGTTTGATTCTTACATGGGCCAGTGACTCTGCGCCCAAGCTGAGCTGCTGTTGAGCTGCCAACAGGTTGCAGGATAGCTCAGCTGGTGAGAGCACGTGCTCCTAACAACAAGACTGCCTGTTTGATGGTGGGCTATACCCACTCGCAACTAAGACTGAACTTGGCATCTTGAGCTGAGCTGCCGCCTAGATGGCTCAGTGGATAGAGCATGCATTCTTAACAACAAGGCTGCGGGTTCAACTCCCGCATGGGAGGGTGGCTATGCCCACCCACAACTAAGACTAAATTTGGCATCTTGAGCTGAGCTGCTGCCCGGATGGCTCAGTGGATGGAGTGTGTGCTCTTAACAACAAGGCTGCTGGTTCGACTCCCACATGAGATGGTAGCTATACCCACCTGCAACTAAGTTTGAACACAGCACCTTGAGCTTAGAGGCCACGAGCTGCCGAAAGGCAGCCAGATGGAGATTGGCGCCCTCCACAACTAAGATTGAAGAACAACAACTTGGCTGGTCCCCTTCCCCAACTCCCCAACACTGTTCCCGTCCAATTCCTCAATTAAAAAAAAATACGAAGGCTATAGGTATTTTTCCTATTAAATATTCAATAGTTTTAATCTCTGGATGGGGATGGATGACAACTTTAATAGTCTGTAAGTATTTTCTTAACCATAAATTCTGCCACTTACTGTATAGATTACACTGTGAACTGGTACATCATTATTCTTCAAATTTTAGAAAGCTGAACTATATCTAGACAAAAGTAATTTAAACAAAGATCAAACTGTTTTGTGTGAAAAAAAATTATTATTGAGAGTAGCATGACCAAGGGGACTTGTTCATTAATCACAGTGATTTACACTGTTGCCAAAATCTGAATTTTCAGTCAAACATTCACCACTAAGCTCTAAAGGCTAATAAACAACAATGTTTAAAAGGGTGATCCACAGAAAATGGGACCAATTAAAAGGAATCTACTGGCGTTTTTAAAATATCATTTAAAAAATAATTTGATTTGACTAAGTGTATTTGAGATAGCTAAACTGACTACAAAAGAGTTTTTAGAACATTCCATTTTTCTAATTGTTTCTTTCTTCTTTTTTGGGGAGAGGTTGACTACAATGATTTCATCTGTGTGTGTGTGTGTGTGTGGGGGGATTGTGGTAAACAATATACAGTTTTCTGGGGGGTTTCTTTTAAAGATTTTTATTGGGGAATTGGGGGAAGGGGAACAGACAAGTTGCTGTCCTTTTGTTCTTCAGTCTAGTTGTGGAGGACGTTGCTTCACTGGCCCAACTTGGCACCATCATTGCGCTCTTCCCGGAGGAGGCATATCAGTCGCCAGCTTCTGAACAGCCGATCACTGCAGCTGCTGGCCACTCACGCTGGTTGCTGGCTACACACGGTAGCCCATGGCAACCCACTGCCACAGGGGCTGCAGCCTATGCCGTCGCTGGCGACTCACAGCAGCCCAGCTCCAGGTTGAGCTGTTGTTCAGCATCTTAGCTGTGGAGGGCAGTGTCACTGGCCCTCATATGTGGGATCCGAACCGGGGCCCTCTGGCGTCCCAAGCCAGCTCTTAACCATTGCGCCACTCGGCCGGCCCCAATATATAGTTTTATCACTGAGTGATTATTCTTTATGTAAGAAGATGCTAGATTTAAGAGATCCTTAATCTTATGTAGACTATAGGATCTATTCTGTAGAAAAATGAGTACTTAAAAGGGAAATTTCTGTTTTTCTGATGCTACTCATATTACTACTAGGTTTGGCCTTTCATGAACCAAAAAGATGATGAGTGCTTTGCTTGTTGCCATTATTATACCCTCACAAAAAAGAACTGGCTTAGAAGTGGCTGAAAATGATGTGAACCCAGTTCTGAGCAGTGTCAGAAGACTGATAAAGCAAGCCTTTCACATCTCCCTCTATGTAAGGTGTGCCAATGACTGTATTAAAAAATCATAATAGTATTAGATTATAGGTCAAAGGTTAAAGAGTAAATGGTAATTCCAGCTCAGGGTGGTATTAAAAAGTCTGAGAACAGGGGTTATGATGGTGAAAGGATACTTTTCTCAGGCAAAGAAGAAGACGAAGATAGGCCCATCTTCCTGAGAACCACTTGACCTCAGATATGATTAGGATAGTTATCTGACAGGCTGAAAGTGGAGTTTGGGAAGCTACTAAGTAAATGACGTTGCTGAGAAAGAAAGGAAGGTGTTTTTCCCCTGGTCAAGTGGGGTGACAGCAGTTAAGCAAGAGAGTGAGTTACACAGGATCTCACCAACGTAGTTGAGCTAAGACGAAACTAAGACAGTCAAGTTTCTCTTCATCTTTCTGTAATCCTACATAGTTTTGCGTAACATGCCTGTCAAAAATTACTGTATAAGCCACAAGGTATTAGAGAAAAAACTTCAAAATGATCAGAACAGCATGTATACTTCCCCCTAGCTCATTTTTACATCAGTGGAATTCCTTTGTCCTTCAGAAGTGCATGTGCATAGTCCTTTACAGTTAGTTTCATACAACTTTTGTGTAAAGGTTTGGTAGCAGAACACACACACGGCTCTTCCCTGCTTAAAGTGCTGCCACTGCTTTCCATCACCTACTTCTTTTTTTTTAATTAAATTTATTGGGGTGACAATGGTTAGTAACATTACATAGGTTTCAAGTGTACAATTCTATAATGCATCATCTATATATCACATTGTGTGCTCACCACTTCTAATTCTGTTACTTACAAGTTTGGTGCCTTGGAAGTTACTTAACCTCTTTGAATTTCAGCTTCCTCATCGGCATCATTGAGGATAATGATATCCTATAGGGTTATTGTGAGGATTAAATAAAGTGATGCCACTTACATGAAAGGGCTTAGCACACAGAAGTTTCTCTATTAAGGATAAGTTCCTTTCCCTACACGGTGTCCATGGGTAGCCATAGGACGAGGCTAGAATAAATGAACACCATAAAAGACACCAACTTAAATATAACCAGATTCTCAAGGCATCATTGGAAAAAAAAAAGATCATGCTTACATTTTCTGCTTTCTCAGCTTTGTGACTAATATTCACAGGGTTCTACCATGTACTGGAATGTTTGCCTAAGTAATTGAGTACACATAGGAAGAGAGTCACAATTAAGAATAGTTTCAGACAGTAAGAGGACAAGGAGTTTATTGAGAGACAAACCATTATAAAGATGCACTGCCTGCCCCTTTCCATTCCAGAGACAGGATTAGATAGGGAAGGTTCCAAATTACAGTGCTTGCTAGGAACTGTTTTCACTCCTCAGGTTAGGAAGAAATTAGTAGTAAACATACAAGTATTAATCAAAAGATATTTAATATCCAAACAACTTTCAGCAAGGTCAAATTCAAAAGGTCTGTTCTAAATGGAAAAGGTGAGGCCGGGTGAAGAGAGGAGGAGAGTGGTTTTTGAGAAATAATTCCATAAAGCCTACCTTTTGCCAACATCCAGGCATGGGCAATCCATCTGGCCCCTGTTTTAAAAGAGAAGAATAAGAATTCCTTAGGCTCCTCAAAAGTGATCATACTCCATAATTCACATGCTCAGAGGCTTAAAAGATGGATTTCTAGTCACTAGGTAGCTTTAGTCATAGGCATCCTTTTCTAACTTATAATAATTAACTCCCAATAGTATAGCCAACATTAATTAAAATGCAGAAAATTCAAATGTTTTCTAGAGTCCACATTTTGAAAATACATCAAGTATAGAAAAATATTACGTCTAATTTTGAAAAAGTAATTTACAAAGCATAGTGGTCTACTCAGTTCCACCTTTAGTAGAACTGTACTATTCCTCTTAATTTCATTAAAATACATTTCCCAGTTATTTTTATTAAATAAATATAAATAATTTCACTTCCTGGTCACTATGGTCTATGGCTGAATGACAATGGTGAATAATCAGTGATGAACCATTTCTATCTGAAGTTCATAGCTCTTCATATGCTATCTTTCACTTTTCTATATTAAAAACAGATAGAGTAGAACATATTTAATTAACTGAATTAAAGATAGGCAGCCTATCTATCTTCATAGTAGAATATCATCCATAACACTTATTAATTTTTCTATTAAAATTCTTCAGAAGCCAGTCAACAAATTCCAAATAAACAAGGGATTCTTAAATGTTGCAAAATTTTTCATTTAAAGTGTAAGCACTCTTCAGATACAAATGATACAAATAAGGCAGGGAGACTTGGTATATTATGAGGCATGCTTGTGTTTTCTCCCAACAAAATGATTGTGAAATATTATTTATTATCAATACCAAGCAAACAAAATAAAAGACTGGGCACTTCATATTGATATTTTCTAATTGTAATATGGACTGAATAAAATTTTTTTCTATAAACACAATCTCTTAAAAGACTTGAGAAACATAAATTTATCTTTATAGCATCATGCTTCGCACTAAAGAATAATATAAGAACATGCAGACCAAATATAACCATCAACACAACCATAAAATGTTTTCCCTCATACCTCAGAAAATATGAATATGCTTTTTTTTTAAATGTAAAAAAAACACTTTGAAATAGCTTTATATGATATTTGGGAAAAATTCAGTAATGCCAGATTGGTACAAGGAGAAGGATCACCCAGTAGAATTTTAGATTTTAGTATAAGGAGGATTTTGAGTTCATGCCAATGGAGATAGGGGAATTCCATATACTTCAGGAAAGTGAGTTTCAAAAGGAGAGACCATTAATTTGAAAAGGTTATGTGACAAAGAAGAGGGTTTGGGCTGCAGACTATTATCATCTTTAGAAGCTCAGAGAAGTTTGGTTTTCTTCCCTACGGTCTCTTAACAGCATTCCCTCGAATTGGCTAACTTTTGACCACAGAAGCTTAACTCTGTAGGTTCGACCTTATTTACAGCCTTAAGGAAAATTAAGCGGAAGAGGCAAAAATGCCTTTCTTTTAGAGGAAAAAAATAAAAAGTTCAATTTAGGGGTAAAATCCAAAGTTACAGCCTTGCTGTGCCTTTACAGAGACGTTTTTTAATGTAATTTTAATGTAATCTTTAAATATTTATTGAATCAATCAATATTCCACAGAATGCAGACCTGTCGGTCCTGTCGGTTGTGAGAACAATGTCAGGAGGTTAATTTGCAGTCACTGATAGAAATGCATGCGTGCTCTCTTCACTCTGCAGAGTCGCTGAAGGAGCTCTTCATGCACATGCTGGTAGTGTGTGTATCATGTAAAGCTAGCCCCAGAAGCACCACTTTACACTGATAGAGATAAATAGGTAATAAACAAAGGGAACCACATGCAGGGTAGTAGGAAAGAGAAATACTGTACCAATTGGCAAGGGGCATCCAGCCCATCCAGGCCAGGCTGGCCTGGCTCCCCTTTTTCCCCCTTAACGCCACGGAATCCCTGTTTGTAAAGATTAACTCATAATGTTACTAACACAAGAAATCACTGACGCACAAATTCTGCTAAAGAAATAACCACGATACCAAAAGTCTGGGAGAGGAGCAACTCTGAAGTGAATAGTAACATTCAGTGATGTTGGATGAAGTAACACAGAGATGGACGTAGTCCTAACAATGAGGGCTTGTCTGGGAACGGTGACCTGTTTTGAGAAGTACAGAATAATGCTGGTTCCTCTCAGATGCTGCCTTCATGTTCCAACTGCAGGTCAGTACTTGAGTGTTAAGAAACCAGGCAGAGCTGGTGACCAGGGACAAGGGGTGAAACATACCAGGATAACCCAGAGAGATACTTTTGGTCCCTGGAAGTCTGGGTTAAACGACCCCAACCAGAGCCCCTGCTGTTACGGGTCCCTCCAGCTTGCTCTTCTCCCAGCTGAGCCCTTCACACATGACATCTGGAGACAGACTTCCATGAGTCAGACATACCAACGGGCAAGGTGCATCTAATCCAGGGGCACCCTGTTCTCCTTTCTCCCCTTTAGGCCCCTTTTTGCCTTTCTTTCCCTTTTCCCCCTGTGGATACAAGGGTTTAAATAAAAGACAGGTTTTATTTGGGGGGGAAATAATGGTGATTCAAAAGATGGTTTAGCCAATAAGAGCCTGGAAGGGCATTTACCACTGTTTTCTGGTTTATATATGGCATGATATTATAAAAATAACAGAGTGACTGGATTCTGGGCAATGATATGTGGAATTTTGTTTATGATATTCAATAAGAAGATAGGAGACCTAAAAGATCTACACATCAGGCAGGAGATCGGTGCTGACTTGGAGCCCAGTGCAGTAGCCCTTGTGAATGGGGTGTTTCTGCCATGCATCTGGGGGGGATGGCTACCAACTGCACTGAAGCCAGCCAGTGGCAGATAAAGTTCAGAGAAATAACGGATACGTCACCCAATTTTCCATACCTGTCAACTTGTTTTTTTCCTAATCCTATAATATATTAGATGAAAGCTACACTGAGCCAGAGAAAAAGAAAAAAATATCAACAGCTTCTATCTTTTTTAAATATATCCAATTTTATGACATTTTTGTAGCTCTCATTAGAAAATATTCAATGTATTAAAAATATTCTTCTATTTCTTTTAACATTCCTTTTCAGGAAACCAAGAGCAAATACTTTCCTTATTGAGTCAGGTAAATAAGTTTAAAATGTGCTAACACTTCTCAGCAATGCCAATTGGACAAACAAACTTATTTATAAACCCAGGATCTTCTTTAATTCACTCTGATTGATCTCATGCCAGATGTTCACAATGGTAAATGGGTTTCCAGCTTACAACGTAACAAAAGCCAAAAAAAAAAAATTCTGTTCAAGAGAGGAAAAGCAGTTTGGACTCAGTTGAGCTAACACTAAAAATGAGGTAGGCAGGATAATTACATAGTGGGAATGTAGCCATGGAAATTAGTATTTGGGAATCAAGGTAAAGGTTGTGGAAATTTGCATGGATCATAGGGATGGAGGAATTAAGGAAAGGAGGCAAAAGGAGGAGAAGGTAGGAATGCACCTCAGCTGTTTCAAATTAACATAAATATCTCTGCATATTTATAGACAAGAAGTTGGTGAGTACAGAATACAAAATACAATACATATTTAAATTAGTGTATTCATTCTGCAATCAGGATGGGGGTTACGATAAAACTGAATAATTTCAGAAGCAAAACAACATGAATATTCAAAGATGAAAAGACATATATATATATATATATATATATATGTAACAGAAATCTATGATATGCATTCAAATTAATATATTCATTCTGAGTGAGCGAAAGCTCTTCAGTTATCTCCTGTGTGCCAAAAAGATTGCATCAGAAGGCTCGGAATCAAAAGCCTTTGGGTTTCTTTAATACTGGGGAAAGAAATTCTGTGTGGTTTAGCTGATCATAATCAAAGACAAAGACCTGAGAAGCCAGGGTGAAAAGAGGGCAGGTGTGACAGGAAGTTAAGATGGGAGGAGCATTTGGGAGTAAATTGCTCACTCACTCAAGATGAATGAACCCTTCCTCAGCAAATAACTTCAGTGCCTTGACATACAATTCATTTAAACTTGTTTGAGTGAGCTCTTTTTCCCCCAGGAGGCAGTGGACTCTTCTTCACGTAGGTGTGACTGACAACAGGTATGTTGGATGTTATTCATTTAAAATTCACTTCATTGCTTGATTGGTAAATCAACTCAGATTAATAACTCAACCAAGAAGTGTTGTCATATGAATGCTGACTGAACAGGCTATGGGAATAATTTTTCAGTAATATTTTAGTGAATTTCAAGCTTTATGGAAAACAGGGACTATTGTACAAAGAATAATATATCAGAGTTATTATTAATCAACATAGTTTTGTAACAGTTAGGGACTCCCTATGTAACACAAAACCATCTGTCATTGTGGGTATGAGCACATAAGGGCTCCTGCTAATATTTATCTCCCATGTCAAAGAATGATATACATAAAGTGTTGCCATTCAGAATTTAATTTTCCTAAATATAAAACTTCTGTACATGGAATCTGAAATATGGAAATATTTTCTATGGGTGATTAACATGACTGAGGATTAAATATGTAGCTTAATGCTTTCATAAGTATAACACTAGTATTCCTTCTTTGCTTGAAAGATCATTAAAATAAGTATCCTCATAATGGTGACATACTTATATATAGACTCATATAACCCATTAGGTAAATATAATATAAATGCCTATAAATATAACATAAATGCCTATAATCTTTAAAGCATACAAACCTTGAGGTAAATTTGTCTCAAACCATGTATGTTTTGTAGTTAGGATTTATAATTCAGAATAAAATAACCATTTTTATGCCTCAGTTTCCTTGTTTGCAAAATGGGATGAAATAGCACCAACTTCAGGGAATTGTTATGAGGATTAAAAGACTTATTTCATGTAAAGGTTTTGGGAAAATGCATTAAGTACTCAATAAATGTAATGACATTGAGATGATGGTGCTGGTAGTGCTTTTACGTAACTGCTCCCACGAGCTCCCTTACAGTGGGAAACAACGTAATGTTTAAGGACTAAAGAAGACACGGCAGGCTTAATGCTCTCTTTGACAACTCTCATTTGGCCTTGCTTTTCAACAGCTATGAACCTCACTGTTAAAGAGAATTTATAGGGCTTTGAAAACTGTGTGTTGTTAAGTAGATCAGGAGGTGAATTAATCTGAGAAGTATAATTGGTTTAAATTTGAACTGTGTAGTGCAATTTCAGCCACTTTGATTGTCACTATTCTATTGAAGTGCTGACTTTTTGTTTGCTTCTTTTGCTGGGTCCAGCATAGAAAATTATTCTTCAAAGATCCAAGCAAAAGGGAGAGGAAATGAAAACATGATTTTTAAAATCCATAATCCAAGCTTTACTTTCAGATATAAAACCCTTTTGCCTGATTCTGGCTCCTCTATATTCTCGAGCTGATGATCTTGATAGACCCTAAACACAACCTCAGAAAATACACCAATATCCTCATTTAAAAATATCTGCAGGGTCTAAAAGTGGCAAGTCCTAGTCCCTGCCTAATGGACCCACTGGGGTTTATCAGTCACACTGCTTGTCTTAAAAAAAAATCAAGATACATGACATACATTGTGTCTCTCTTTTGAGAATGTTGTGAAGATAACTGAGGTGTGGGCTTTACAGGGTTAGGTGAGCTCTGCCAGGAGACCACTGCAGATTTGTGCTATTTCAGTTTACTTTAATGTAATAAATGCCTTTTTTTTCCTCCCCATTTTCAAGAATCCCTGGACATTACATCTTTCAACACAGTGGTGACAGGTAGTTGAAAAATTGTAGCCTGGCTATCTGGGGATTATAATTTTCTTTTATACTAGACAGTGTCCTAATTTCTAGTGGTGTAGCCTTCTTCATTCCTTTATGAAGACCTGTTTTTTTAGATCAGGTATTGGCATGTTTTTGGAGCACAGGATGGACATAGATTAGATGTATGAAAGAACTGCACAGGCCGAACAGCAAAGCAGACAGCATGAGAAAAATCAAGCAGGCGCATGCTGGGATGGAGAGGTCACCTTTTCTCCCTTTTCTCCTACATCACCCTTCTCACCGCGTGGACCAGGGAAGCCCTATAGGATGAAAAGCAAACCAAAGAAATCTATTAATGTAACTGTGGCAAAATCATATTAAAAAAATAAATTTAAGATTTTGTATTTCTGAACGCCAAGTATAAAAAAAATGGCATGCCCAACAATCTCAAAACTTAGCTAAAGTAGCCCTTAGAAATAATAGTTTATGAACATCTCAATTATCTATACACAACAGGTTTCTTGCTTTCTTTCCTAGGAAATGTACAGTGGCGAGAATATCAACATCCTAGTTTGAATCCTGGCAAGTTCACTGCTGTGTGCGGCACATCACTTACCTCAGCATTTTAGTCTCTTGACCATAAAATGGGGTTAATGATATCTACTGTACAGCTGTTGGTGTGAGCGTTAAATGTGGTGATACACAGTCCCAGAATTATGTCTGTACATAACAGGTGCTCAGCAAACAATAATTATTTCTACTTTTGTTATTGTTATTATTCACATAATACAGGTGAGCAGTGCTCTTTTTAAGAGGCATTTAGTTTTGAGAGTCTTTATACTTACAGAATTATATCATAAGATACAGAGAGACTTCACACTAAAAGGAAAATATTGTATAACAGCTTTGAGAATAGATACACCATTCCCTAAGGGTATCCTGTGAAAGATACTTCAATTTTATATATTTTTTAAAACAAATGGGTCAACTGCAGATGTTGAGAATATCCCTAATCTGGGAAAGCATTTTGAAGTGGCACTATCAACTGTGGGTTATTAATTTGATACCAGATAATTATTTTTTTCTTTTATGTTTATCTTATGCAGATACTAGTGGTGTATTTTATATTGCTGTCCACATACACAACAATATACATTATATGCATAACTACATACACTGAAAAAAAAAAAAAGTACTGTTGCCGCTATTGATGATGTTGACCCTCAGCATCTGTGACAATAGGAAGATGTTTACTATGCGCATTACTTACATCAAGACCAGGCTCGCCATCTTTCCCCTGCCAAAGAACCACAGTAGCTACGTTAGTGTTCCTGAGTTTCATGAGGAGTTATTGTTTTACTTAAGGCTGCCTGGACATGCAACGTCAATATTAGACCTACTTCCTAAAAGTGCAAAAGATTCTTCACTGATTAGTAATACAAATTTCTTTCACTAAATCAAGTAAAGTGACTGTTAATATCGCCGCTAAGGGTCATAAATGTTTTTATCTTCTATATGGGGTTCAAGAGTCTGTTATTTTGCTGAAGTTGAATGTTTGATATCCAAGTTATCAATCCAGGAGTAAGTTGCAAGCAAAAATACTGTTTAGTTGATTTAAAAACACACCGGCACTATAGAGTATGCAAATCAATGCTGTTTTAATTTGATAACTTAGTAGTTAGGTCATCAGTGAGTAAAAAATGTGAACGCCATTTATTGTTAAGTATGGTTTTAATTTGGCTAGATGTGCACCTTGTCTATAAATACTGAGGGTGTGAAAGTCACAACTTAAACACTGTTTTTAGGTAAGCTTTGTAAATGAGTGATCCTCTAATGTAAAAGGAATCATAAGACTGTTGTGTAAAGATGATAAATTCACTCCCATCACGAAGATTAACAGGGCGGTGACCCTTTTGTGTCACACAGGGGATCCACCCAAAGTTATTGAGAGATTGCGTTGATTTCATCAGTTGAAATCTACTTCAAAATCAGCCTTCATTTGAACTCTATTTTAAAATCAGCCTCTCGTTTAGCACTGAAATAATCATGGTTTAAGTTTATTATTTCAGTTCATAAAAACTGGAAGGTACAAGGTTTATGGAAAGTACCTAGGGGTTAAAAACCTTAATACAGCATATGCCTCTATTGTAGTCCTACCCTACCCCATGGAATCATTTATGATTATCCTAAAGATAATTCTGAAGCAAACCTGAGGCTTCAATTTGAAATCTGTGTGACTGAGAATCTTCAGAAGACAGAATACTATCAACATTCTATGTTCTGACAATCACTTGTCAGCACAGTAATTTAGAGGTCTCAGCGACATCAAAGTCATCATAAACAACAACTTGAGAAATAACTTTTATTAGCAAGAGAAGTTTTAGTAAGTAACCTATGAGAGCAGATAAAGTCTGCAAGAAGTTGTTTTAAATAGAGCTTCTACACCCACTTTTCTTACTTGGCCCTTCCAAAGAAGGGCCAATTATGGGCATCCAGTCAGATGGCAGGAGGAAGGCGTCATCTGACAGTGGAAATCCAGCTTGCCGGTCAGAACTGTTCATCTTATGGACAAGGTCTGATTCTCTCAATCTTATGAAGCGTGTGAGTGTGTGTCTAGATGTGCGTGGGTGCGTATGACATGAATATGACCTGTCTCTGGAGGACATGGTGACATGCGGGTAGAGAATTACTGGATTGTTGTTTACTCCTAGAATGTGATTAGTTGGCCCCACGAGGGAAAGGTTAACTGCCAGTCACAGGTGATCTATGCATGCTCAGTGGGGAGGTAGCACACACGACAGAGAACTCACAGGCAGACCATAGGGCCCTCTGGGTCCGGGCTCTCCCATAGCTCCTTTTTCACCCTAAAATGAAAGGCGGAAAATTTAAGTCATATACAAACACCTATATTCAAACACTATCACTAATGACTTGCGATTAAAGCCTCTATTTGAAGTATCATTCTTTCAAAATTGCAAAGATTCATGCTCTTCCAGAGTCACTGCCAAGGATACAGTACATGTATTCCACATTAGCCTATTTTTACTAAATCACCTTTGAAAGAAGGGCAATAAGAAAGACTGCTGCAGCTCGGTTTTGCAAAAGGACTGGCACATCTAGGGTGCTATACTTGGGTTTCTTTGGCATTAGTATGAAGCATTTATTTATTACTAATTATTTTAAGTTACTACTTTTTAAAAATGCCTTCTTTTTTTTTTTTTCTATCAAATGTCTCTTCGCCAGCAAGGCCTTTCTTGACCACCACGATCCTTCACTGAGCTGCACATGGCACTCACACACTGGGAGACACACACAGGTTATATAGCCTGTTCATTCTTTGCCCAGCCCATGAGGGGAAATCTGCACATTAGGGCACTAGGGCCTCTGCCTTTGCTCCCTGCTGTGGCCCCACGGCTTACAACAGTGTCTGGCATATCAGTAAATATTTATTGAATTAATGAATCAAGTAAAAAAAATACAATCATGTACCTGTTTTGCTTCCTTTCTGAAAAGGAGGGATTAAAATGTTTATGCCTTCTACTAAAGGCCCAATAAAGAAGGTATTACCTTCATCAATCTCTCTCCCCATGCCTATTGAAATAGAATAGCTTGCCCAGCTTAAATGATAATTTTGAGTGCTTATAAAGAATAAGTGTAATTGGAGGTGGTTCCATGAATACGAAATAATTGTGATAATAAAGAAAGAGATGTTCTGCATTTCAAATAGTGTTTTCATCTGCTGCCATCTCCAAAATTAATGCGTTTGTCAATATTTAGCATGAAAACTTCCAGGGGACACAGTGATGTTTACGAGTGGCCAAACAGAAAAGTCACCTTCTTATATCACGCCCCTGAAGAAGTTTAAAGGTTAGCAGAACTTTTTCATATGTCAAATACCAAGTTCAGCTAACAACTGTGCATGCGGATCCAAGTATTTTGCTGTGTTTCCCTATACTACAGATTCCCATTTGAGCAAATCTCAAGCCACTGTTAACACTCTTCTTTAATTTAAACTTAGGGGTTGGTGGAGCTAATTGGCAATGTCACCTAGAAACATATATGGTATAGGGAGATTACTGAAAATAAGTATGATAAAAGTTTGTTGAACTTTTATTCATTGTTACTTTATGTTTATTATGGAAGAAGTAGCAACTGCATTCATTAAAGTTGCCAGGCTTTGAAACATTTAAATTTGAATTCTAGTTCTGGCACTTACTAGCTGTGTGGCCTTAAATTTCTTAACCGTTCTGTGCCAGTTTCATTGGCTGTAAAATAAGAATATTAATACATATTCTGCAAGAATTTTTCTGAAGATAAATGTGATTGCAAAATATGAAGTTCATTGTTGCCAAATAATATATCCCATAAATAGTAGCTCTCATTATTGTTGTATAATTAGAGGTCTTATTTTTAATAAAAAGGGCTTGGCAACCCAACGAGCATTAATTCAAAATAAATTTATTTCAGTTTGATCTGGCAGTGTTATGATTTTTAAAATGGTGGTAGTGCATGTGTGTGTGTGTGTGTGTGTGTGTGTGTGTGTGTGTGTGTGTGTGTGGTGGGAAGTGGGGGCTTAAAAGGGAGGTTCACATAACCTGGAGTGGGTTTAACTTTAAAAAACTCAACAGATTAGATTTCATTTGAAAAATCTTCAGATTATTTTGATATGCCCACTCCCTTCTCCCTCCTCTGATTGAGCATCTTGGCTTTATTTTGTTTTTAAAATGAACATACCATGGCTTATTTGAATTAAGTTGTCACAAAAACATTTGTCTGCGGAACTCCTTTTATAGACTTGCCCACCCCCAATAATTACTATAATGACTGTAATAATTTGAGCTAATAATGACGATTCCATTTCACTCGCCAGTGACTATGTCAGAAGTGGACATTAGACCCAGTCCTGGCCAATGCGGTATGGGCGGACCTCAGGTGGGAAGCTATGGAGAGGGATTTCTCACTGCTAAGGACGAAGCACAAGAGGAGAAGGTCTCCATGTGTGTCTCCTCCTGCTGCCTCACTAGAGGACAGGTGTATAACCACCATGACCAGTTTGCCTGTGGTCAGAAGACAAAGCTAGCACATGGAAAGGGCACGGAAGCAAAGCCTGGAGTCCCTCCTTTGAATATTTGGTTATATAAAACAATACATTTCTTTATTGCTTAAGGTATTTTGAGTTGGGGTTCGATCGCTTAGAGCCAAAAGCATTCTAATGGTCCCAGCTTGAAGACTTTTAGGAATGAAACATTAACACGGGTATATGAATGGGCATCTTCTTTTCTTGGATTAAATAATCCCCAGAAAATTTTTTAACCACTCAAATTTAACATTTTATACAGAGTTCCTAAGCAGTGACAAGGCCAGATGAAGAAATCAACTGAAGGCAGGGACCATCAGGTGCTGGAAGAGCTGAATACCAATGCTGTCAGTCATGTAGTTGACAATTTCTGAATAACACTGTCTGTCAAATGCCTGGCTTCTTTTAGGGGAGACGTGCAAATTAAAGAGCCCAAATTTGGGCTCTTTAATTTGCACGTCTCCCCTAAAGAATTATTCTAGAATAGCCTCCTTTCCTGAGTCCTCCCTTTAAAATTTGAAACGTTTTCAAGAGAGTCCAGATGGCGCCTCAATCAATTAACTCTGAGAATCACACTCCAGTTTAGCACTTTGGGTGAGGGGCACTTGGAGAGTATTGATATATGATCCAGTTAAGATAGTTAACATGCTGAGTAAATATAAGTGTAACACTTTACACTGCACACCATTTGACTTAAACTATGCTTTCAAAAATTCTTAGAGATTTCATTTGCTCTCCTGGTTAATTCTGCCCCAGCGCCGAGACCTGATACTCTTGTGACACTGTGGAGCTATCGGAAGTAGCAGCTGATTTACCAAATGGTAAGCCCTCTTGAGCCCCAGGGCATTCTGCCAAAAGACTACTTGAGATTTGCTGCTCCATTTTTAGTACACGTACTGAATTTCTTGATACGGTGCTTGAATGGTTCAGCAAGCGGGAGGAGGCTCTTAGCTTTTAAATATTTTTAATTAGGATGATCTTTATAAGTTGTTGACTTGATCTTAGAAATAAGATCATATAAAGATAATTGCAGATTCAGATTATTTATTCCTTTGGGACTCACCTCTTTCTAGAAGCATTCTTGGATAAAGCCAACCTTCCTCATCACTGTACGTACAGCCTCTACTATTTGTATTCACTTGGGCCTCATTATCTGGTTATTTTTCAACAGATATTTTTTTCTTCTGCACTTAGGTTGTAAATTCTTCTAGATCAGGGAAAAATAGCTGCTTCCTTTACAGTATTGAATAAATATATAAATATATAGTGTATTAGTAAAAGATTATAGGATGATGAATGAATTATAATGGCATTTATTATTCAACTCACTGGAGCAAATTAGCAAAATAGACTTTCCATAAAAGGGAGGAGAATGTTTCCATTTCACACTAGAAGTACACTGTGTTTTGGACATCGGAACATATGATAAATATTTACTGAATGAATGAATTCACTTTATAGAACATGGAATTGGGATGTGTGCCAAAGAAATTGCTATGTGGTCTTCTATTTTAAAGCAAATTACCCCAGACTGATGAAACTCTATCTAGTTTTAAAAGACCACAAACTTGCACAATGAAGTATTCCAACATTTTGAAGCCTTTACTGTTAGGATACTTTCTTTACATCCTGTCCTGGATGGTGGGGAAACTGATGACACAATTCTACAGTAACACACAAAAACACTTCTAAGTTTTCCGAGGTGAGGAAAAGAAAAAGTAGGAGAAAAACAGAGAAAGAAGGAGAGAAGTTCCAGACAGATGACCCGTTGCTGATGTGCCAGTACATTTTTTTGTGTCAGATATTTATCTTCTATGCTGTCTTCTTCTTTTTTTTTTTTCTCAAGGATATGGAAACATGGCCTAGCAATAGAGAGGTTAGTGAAAGGTTTTTGTTTTATAATGCACTGAAATTATTTCCTTATGGTTAAAGAAAGACAGGCTATTCTTTTTTTTTTTTTTTCTGCTGCTGTTTTTTAAAGCAGCGTGTATAACGGTGTGGAGGAGAATGCTTAGGTTTTATAATTTTCCTTAAAAAAAGTTATAACTTACTCTCAATGAATACAGTAGCTTTATATAAAAGATTATCAACCAGAATATGTAGTCCTGGAAATGTTGGCCCCGATGATTTCAATTTGCTGGATTAAGGCCAAATAAAAATATCTTCCTTATGCGTTAAGAAGGAATGGTCTGAGCTATTTATTTTAGCCAGGAAAATGTATGCATTTTTTGTATTAAGGCAGCCATATTCTATGTTAATGTTCTGTTGTGCTCTTTTCTCAATGTGAGAACTCTGAATAGAACTGAAGATGGTATCTATTGTCATTTATTATTAGATAGCCCTTTGTTTCTTCTGGGAAAAGAACTGTTCAGTTCAAGTAAAATGGAAAAGTCACACTGTTTTGTTTAGGTCACAAATAACCTAAATTTATTATTTGCTTAATAACCTCAGGAGCAACTTACCCTTTCTCCTTTGGGACCTGCAGGGCCATGGGGTCCCATAGGGCCATCTGTACCCTAAAAAAAAAAAGATAAAAATAAGATAATATGAGACACATCCCAAGGGTTATAAGAAAAGCAGTTATAATTTATCCCGGACTTTTCCTGGGTGAACGATGCCTTAGAATGTCAGTAAGACAACTCATCTCTTTTCAAAGTGCTTTATACTTGACTCTTTCAGGTCAGTAGTTTCCAAGAAGCTCATGCAAAAGGGCTGAATTACATAACTGCAGATTTCAATGAAGGGCATACACAAAAAGCTGTGTATCACATTTAATTATATATTTCCTCCCTGACTAAATGGAACATTTTCAATTTGCCCCCATAATCTTAAGAAGAAAAATGGAACTGTTTTTCCTTGACATTATCTCTTGTTCACATTCATTCTCCACTCCCACTTTTACCCCCACTTTCCTTGGCCCCGAATGCTCTGCAGCCTTGTTTTCAGCTGTTTGAGAAGCTTGAACAGATATACAAGTGAAAAAAATATTAACTAGATGAGAACAGTGTATCACTATTCAAACTAAACTTTCTTCAGCTTTGTTGGGAGCAGCAAGGGGCTTAGAAGAAAGGAATTACTCTGCAGGTTACACTGCAATGGCTGAAGTCACTAGGCTTACAAGGCACAAACAAGGCAGACAAGGGTTTAATGGCATAACTGCCCTCTGGCCTCCTGGTTCAGGATTAGGATTTCGGTGGCAGACGAGATCATATCTGAATGAATATAGGAATACTGAGCTCCTGGGAAATGATGACTACCTGAAGAAGGTTTTTAGAACCGAAGAGCTGGAATTTCTTTTTGATTCTTATAAATGTAACAAGGACTTCAAGTATATTTGCTCATTTTCAGGAACACTATACGCTTATATGTGCAAAGAATTTATTATAATATTTGCAAATGGAACCCTTCTAGCACAATTTTTTTATAGCATTCCTATTTCTGTTCTACTGTTCCTGTTTATTCTATTAGAGCCTTATGATATGAAATAATTCAGGGTTTTAAGTTTATTCTAATGTTGGTGAATTCTCATCATCTGAAACTGATCTTTTTCTTACTGCTTGCTCTCAAAGTCCATCTTCAGAAGACTTCTAAATACTGAGAATCTGTGGCTGAAATTTAAGAGATGTTAAGAACCAAAGAAAAGTGACAAATGACAGAAGACAGACAAGTATTTTGGATGAACAGAGATTCGAAAGTTAGTTCCAAGGAAGAAGTTACATTTCTAATATGGACATAAACATAAAAGGAAAAGCAAGTTAAAAATAAATTCACATTATTTTAATCCCTTCAGAGGGCCTCTCTCATGGAATTACAGGAAATGTCCTTTGGTTATAGAAATATTTGTCTGAGATTCTAAGACAATGACAACAATTAGACTGGTCATTCTTCCCGCCTGGCAAGTTCTCCAGACTTGAGTCCAGGCTTCAGAAAGATGTTCTACAATTACAGCTGTGTGTCCAATAGAGCTGCAGCCCAGGCTCTGTCCACCTTTCCCTTTTCTGCCACTATCTTTGTCCACCTTTCCCTTTCACCCCAGTCCTAGGTACCCTCATCATTTGATGAGAGAACATGAGCCAAAAGGGTCTGTCCTGAAGCACAAAATTCATAACCACAAACGCGTTGGAGCAAGACGAGGTACTGACTCACCCGGGCTCCTGGCTTTCCGTCTAAGCCAGATGCTCCCTGTGTGATTTGGTTGATAGCACGGTTGGTGGGTGTAACACGAATGACAAGAACAGAGATTAGTATGAGGTACTGATGAACAAATGTAACACTTCAAACAACATAATACGCAGTCACAGGATTCTGGGATGAATATCACATTGCTACAAATTGTTAGTTAAAAAAAAACAAAAACACGGGACAATAAACACCCCCATAGATGATGGCATTTTAATGACATTTCCATTTGACGAATTATTTATTTAGAAATCAAGTTAATGAAGTTTCAAAAGTGGGCTTTCAAGAGGTTACCAGTAGCCATCACAGGCTGCTAATATCCACATGAAATTCATTTTCTACAGGCTATACTATTTGCGATAGTTTTCTTTAGGTTCTGAAGAAAAATAATGGCCAATCTCCTAAGAAAGGGCTCATTATAATAATCAATCAGGGTTAGCATTGCAGAGGAGAAGAAAAGAGCTCAGTTTTGTTTGTTAAAACAGCATTTATGAGGAACAAATGCAAAACTTTAACCTGCCAGAATAACTGTGGATTTGACATGAACAATAGTCATTGTTTTCTGGGCTGTTCTACTGTATGCACATTAGTCACCACTAGAGGGACTTATAGGAACAGGAAAAGCCAGGAGATTTTCATGAGTCAAAACAAAAAAAGCTGTCCCAAACAAAATCATTCCTCAATTCACTTTTATTTGAAGTGAATAATCATTGCATCAAAATCTGAATGAAAAATGCTCTAAAAAGCTAATGTTATTCTCAGGTAATGTCTGCTTTTCTTTACCTTGAACTCTAGGCTATACATAGTCTATAATGAAAAGATGACATTTTCAATGTTTGTTTCCAGAATAAGCACATCACTTCTTTGAAATGGCTTTTGTATCTCAAAACTCAAATATGTATTTATAGTCCTTTAAAACATTGATTAGATCAAGGAGTATTTAAGGAAGACAATGCATTAGCCCTATAAATTCTCTTGGCAAGGTTGCAGAACTATTTCCCTATTTTATGCTTCAGATGTAATTAATAATACCAAGTGAAAAAAAAATTATTCCAGCCAGAAACTCTACCAATGATGCTATGCCATATATATTTTGGGTAATTTTAATTTTATATTTTACAATTCATTCTGTATAATTCTGTTATGAGTCAGACTGTAACTGCAAAATACATCTTTAGTTAGTAATGATCGGAATTTAAAAAACAATGTGTGTTCTTGGTTTGTTTGTTTAATGCTACCATATGTAGAACTTTTGGCTAAATGTTATATAAAAAATATCACTAGCCCTAAATTTGAAATGAGGGCATACTTTAAAGAAATCAGTGAGGGCTTAAATAGAAATCCAAACTTCCTTTTGCTTTTTCGTACTTCCTTTCTTCAGAGTCACCATTATTATAACATTTAAAAATAAATGGAGAGATGGTAAAATTTTTGCACTGATAATATTACAATTACCTGGGATGTGATTAATGACTCACATATGTCATAGAGGTTTTATGCCTGGGGTCCATTGATCAAATTGGTCTGATTTAACCTATGCTCTAATACAAGGCTTATATCATTCATTCAATAAATGAATATATATTGAGCATCTACTGCGGGCCTTATCTATGTAAGGCACTGGCTATCAAGTAGAATACCCTAGTACTTACGATATAGTACCCACAGGAAAAAGTAAAATAAGTGGTCAGCAACTTCTTTATGTGTATAAACTATTTTCTATTATCAATTTCATGTCATATTTTAATAATGTCATCTATAATGTTCTTTATTGATTTTTATCTGCATTCAGTGAATAGACAGAATGTTAAAAGCTTGAAACTAAAACCTCATATTCAATAATAATTAAAAAAATATTTAAAAAAAATTTTTGTGGAAAGAAGATTGGCATAAAGTGCCAGAAAGGTAAAAATCCCCTTTCCCCCCCCCCCCTTTTTTTTTGGTTAAAAATAAAAATCTCTAAACAACGGCAAAATACTTCTTCCATCCTATCCATTATTACCACAAGAACCCCACAAGAGGGCATTTCCAAAACAAAGAACATACAACATTGAGACCACGATATGACTGATTAATGTAAGGAGCCACAGCACTGACCTCATGCCATCAACAATGGCCAATTGCATACTGCCATCAACAGAGGGCTACAGTTTGGGTAGTAAAGGAGGAAAATAAATTGAGGGAGAATTTTAAAGTGCACTGAATTATAAAAACTGTTGGGAGGGGCGGCCAGTTAGCTCAGTTGGTTAGAACACAGTGCTCAAAGCACCAAGGTTGCTGGTTCAATCCCCGCATGGGCCACTGAGCTTTGACCTCCACAACTAGATTGAAACAACTACTTGACTTGGAGCTGACGGGCGCTGGAAAAACACACTGTTCCCCAATTAAAAAAATAATACTAAATAAATAAATAAAAGAAACTGTTGGGAGAAAGTATGAAATAATCAGCACAATCCTTTTTGAAAGGGGAAGGTGATGGGAGAAGAAGTATCAGTTTTAAAAGAGGAAGGTTGGCACGTATGTAATTGAAAGACAGAAGAACACTTGTGGTATCATGTGTTATGGGGTCTTCCTCTGACACAAGAGCAAACATCAGAGAACAAAACTGGGCTGAGCTCTGCACTAATTTAATGTGTTCTCCAATTACAGAACTCTTAACTATAAGATAGTCATCGAGTAAACCAGAGCTGTTACTTAGGGTAGAAAGAAAAGTCTGAGATTTGCACTGAAATGGAAAGTTTTCTTTACTTACTGGAAGACCAAGGGGTCCTCTGTCACCCTTTTGACCTGGTTCACCCTTCAATCCTTTAACACCATTTAACCCTGGTTCACCCTAAATGCAAAAGCAAATGCTAATTTTGGTTGCTATCACGGGCATTTCAACTGTGAGAGAAGAGAGCCAGTCTCTGAAAGAGAGCCAGTTGCAGATTCCAGTTTTAGGTAACAGCTGAGTCAGGCTAGATTGGTCTTGTAGCAGTTTAAACTTAATTTTAAAAAAATTAAAAGTAAACCGAAATTGACAATTAAATAAGATTCTAAGAAGCAAATCTCCTTATAATCAAAATGCATATAACTGAGTTCCCGAATTTATCAGTAACATCTCAATAAATTGGTATTGTGCTGCACCGTTCTGACCAAGCAAATCAAAGACAATCAGAGTGCAGGATGCGGAAGGAGGTTCGGTAGCAAAAACCCACTCTGCTGCAGTGAGAAACTGGAATATGCAGGACAGTGTTATGTACAGACATTTTAAGCCTTTAAGCATTTTGCCTAGGGTAATGCACTAAAAATGTAGCAGCTGATGTTTGAAGTAATGCCATTGAGTGAGTGAGTCCTCATTCTCTGACATTGCCATGTCAGATCCCTACATGAATTGATCAATGCACTGGACAACAAATAGCCAACCTCAGAAGAGAATATGAAGATCACAGAACTTACATGCAGTTTCACTAACTGTCTGTGTGCCCAGTGTTAGAATAAAGCAGGTTTGTACTGAACTTAGGGTGAAATTACAAAAGCCGTGAGACGTGATAAATTCTGCTGACTCTGTTTTTTAAAGAAATCTAAGAATACAGTACACCTATTTTCTATCAGTAGCATGCTAGAAATAGAACTCTGACCTGTTCACTTTTCAACTTTTAAGTACAGACATTAATTTCATCAAGAAAATCTTGAAAGATTTGTGACAGGAAGATGATTTCAGTCTCAAATACCCTATAGAGTCTTTCTGGGTGGGGTGGGAAGGAGGAGAGATTATGTTTACATGGCGGGAGGGCAGTATTTTCCCCATTTGTCTGATGATGAAAATCAGTGGGGTGCTTGCTAAATATAAAAAGTCCAGGGCCCCACCTAGACCTTAGCAGAACAGGAAAAGTGTATTTTTAATAAGTCTTCCAGGTCATTCTTCTGATCAATAAGTTCTGGGAAACTGCTCATCCTTGGAACCATGCTATATATATTTGAACTTTCAAAGGGCACAAAGTAATGACTGCATTTGGACACACCTCATGAAATTTTGGGATTCTAAAGATAGGATGATCACAGTGCTGCCACTATAGGAAATCCAAATGTGCTGTGGTTGGTAAAGAATGATCCTGGGAGTGTCACAGAGCTGGAGTTAATCTGAGGTTAAGGCCAAGGCTCCATGGTCAACTTCAGTTAACTGGTCTAAAGTTGAGATACACTACTTTGCATGTGTGTGGTCTCTCAGCAAGTGGTCTTGAGATGATGAATAGGCAGGAAAGTGCTGGTAGTCTATGAAATTCTTTGCTGAGAAATCATGTGTTGATAGGAGTGGGCATTAATTGAGAAGATGACCTTGTAAACAATCAAATTCAGTGGCAAAAAGACCAAATTTCAATGCTGGCCTAAATTCTATTTCCAGATCTGTCACTTAATGAGCAGTGTAATTTAGTGTAAATAACCTAAATTTCTTGGGCCTATAGTTTATCATCTATAAAATCAAAGAACTAGCACAGGTAATCTGTGAGGTCTTTGAAACTTTATAAACATTCTCTGAAATCTATGATTTAAGTACAATTAAAGTGTAGGCAAAAATAAAATCATTGCATTTTAGATAGAAAAGAAACTTGGGCATCTATTAATCTAATGGTGATGGGCTATCTGAATCACTCATGGAATTAAAATCACAGTCTTGGTGGCTTTAGTCTGAGTCATTACAATTTGGCTGGTCTTTAGAAGTGCCTTAGCATCCAAGGAGAAGCCAAGAGTACAGAAAGAGGCCAGAGAGTTCAGATAACTACTAAGACCATACAGCTGGTACATGGGCTCTCTCTCTCACCACCAGAACAATGCCTTTACCCCAAACTATTGGGTCTTCAGAAAAGTCATGATGTATTTTGTCTATGTTTTTCAAAGGTCATTTATTTATATAAAGAACAAAGATCAATCAATGATATATTGCCCGTTTTGCTCGATAACCTTTTTCCATCTTTCAGTGAGCTTCATAAATAATTCCTCATCCATAGAAGGACCTGTCTTTATTTGTGAAAAACTGAACAAGGTGCTAATTTACAGCCTCATCTTAATGGAACGTTATACCATGCAAGCCGTTCTGCAGAGAGCGAAACAAGTGGAAGTCTGATGGCGCAAGGTCAGGCGAATATGGTGGGTGTGGCAACACATCCCATCCAAGCTCCAATCATTTTTGACGGGTCATCAAACTTGTGTGTGGTCTCCCATTGTCACGATGGAACACAACTCCTTTACAATTAACGAGCTGTGGACGTTTCTGGATGATGGATTCATTCAAACTGTCCAATTGCTAACAGTACACATTTGAATTGATTATTTGGTTCCTTGGTAGGAGCTCAAAAAACATACCACCTTTAAAATCCCACCATACTGACAACATAACCTTCCTCTGATGAATGTCTGCTTTCGATGTCGTTTGAGGCGAATCATCATGTAGGGACCAAGTCTGTGCACCACATTATTGTAAACAATCCACTTCTCATCACCAGTTATCATTTGCTTCAGAAAAGGATTGTTTTCCTCATGTTTAATGAGCATATTGCAGATGTTTATATGCGCCGTCAAATGGACTTCTTTTGAGTTCATGCAGAACCCAAAATATCCCAGCTTCTTCAGGTGGTTGTGAATACTTGAATGATGATGTTCAATGTTTCTGCAATCGCTCATGTCGTGTAATGTGGGTTTGACTCCATCAATGCCTTTATTTTGTCGTCATCAACCTTGGTGGGCCTCCCTGACTGAGGAGCATCGTTGAGATCAAAATCACCAGCACAGAATTTCGTGAACCATCGTTGGCACTGACATTCTTGTAGAGCATTGTCACTGTAAACTTTATGTAACTTTTCACAAGCTTGATGCGCGTTCTTCCCTTTATGGAAGTAAAACAGTAAAATATGGCAAAAATGCACAGTTTGGTCTTCCATCTTCAACTTGTTGTGAAATCTCCAAAACTCAACCAAATCACTCAAATTTTTTTTAGAATGAAGCTAAAACTGTCACTTGTCAAATGACAGAGCAATAACATAGATGCGAATGACTCGAGTACTTCCAAACCTGAACTAGTGCCACCCTGTTGCAAACATGCGTCATGACTTTTCCAAAGACCCAATATAATCCATGCTTCTGAGACACATGGTCACTCACTGGCCTTATCAGAAGGAAAGGTAAAGAAGAATAATGAGGCATGAGCTCTTCCCATGCTTGGGTGAGTCACTTGCCTGACTTCAAAAGGAAACTCAGATTTCTGCCGTCAGACCAATACCTCGGCCACCCCTAAAGCTGGGTGGGCCAGAGGGAGGCCTCAGAAAAGAGGGTGGGCTGCCTTCCTGATGCCTAGTGCCAACATTGCATTTGTGTGCTCCCTGACCCCTCATCATTTATATGCACCAACTCCCTGCTGAGGAGCTTTCAAGACTACTTGAAGCTTCTCTCAACCAGTCTTGAGGGTGAGCTAAAATTTTCTGTTCAGAACAAAGCATCGAATCACAGAATAACAACTGACATTTATTGGGTGTTTATCAACAGTTGCACTGGATATTTTGCTAAATGTTTTATAAGCATGCCTCATTGAATCATCACAACCTTATGTGGTAAGTCACCTAGTTGAGTAAATGAAGGACCGGAGAGAGTAAATAATCTGCCCAAGGTAACAGCCTGTCAGGGGCAAAGCTGAGATTCGAACATAGGTCCTCATCACATGTACTCCCTGTAAGAAGAAGATTGGCTTTCAGGACTCACTTTAATTCTCTAAGCTGTCCTCTCTGACTACACAAAGGCAGAGAACAGGTGGAGACCATCTTCACAATATAAGCTGCACTCATGCTGACAAGGAGGGGATACTCTATTGTTTTCTCATCAATCCAGGGTATAGAATACTTGTATGAGATGTAATCTTCTCCTCAGTATAACATACCTCATACACCCCACTCCATTCTACACCAATGACTTCTGGGGGAGTACAAAATTAAGATGCTGGATAGTCAAGCATTTAGATGCAGTACTGATATATGACAAGAAGTATCAACATGTATGACTAAATGTGCAACTAAAGATATTATAATGAGAAAGCATCTGGACTAGTCTGAGAACCTTATCAGATTTACTTCTAGATGGTTTATTTTGAGTATATTATGATTAGTGACTTAAGAAACTTATATAGTGACAAGGGAAAAAGGCAAAATGGGAAATAATTCATCTCCAGGTGATGTCACTTAAATTTGTTCTAAGTCATTCTGTTTTATGAGATTTAAACATCTGGATACTTAAAGGCTTAAAGATTATCAACATTACTTGACAAGTAAATAAGACAAGACAGACATGCTTCCATCATGCTTCTCCATGATTAATGAGGAAACAGAAATCAAATAATCAAGGGATTTGTTACATTACCTTTGGTCCAGGAAGTCCATGGGGTCCCTGAAAATGAAAACACAGCTTTTAATTAAGAACTGATTCACTGTTTCCCAGCAGAAGTGATTATATAAAATAACAAAAGAGGTATAAAACAAGAATCTTCTTGTTTAAGCCATAGTGAGAGGCAGGCCAATGGATGTTACCACTGGTGAAAGTTACTTCCAACTCCTGGATTGTTCTGTAAGAGGAAATTCATTAATAGCAATTCTTTCTGTTAAATACCTGTGAGATGGAGGGAGGAATCTGAAAGGGTTATATGGAAGAAAATAATAGAGAAAAAGTATTGTGAATCCACACTACTCCTATTTCTCAAATCCCCATCTAAAAAAAAAATCTAAGTGGAATACATGAAATACTTTATAAGTGTGTATGGAATACAGATAGGTCTTAAAAGAGAAATTTGCCAAAGAAAAGTCCCAGACAAAGAAAAGTACCAGTAAAAAGGGGGCCTTTTCCATCACTAACTGCTCTAGGCTCATGTGTTAAGTAATCTAAAGTAGAAAGGAAATGAAGAGATGATAGTCAAGTCCGGAACCCTGTTGTATCACTTATTTAATTTATGACTAATGAAAGGATTGTAATACAGTAGGGTAAGCATTATTATTTAGAATGCATTTATTTTTACAAAGATGAATTCTTCAAGGTTCTTATAACAAATATTTCCCAACAGAAGGAAGTCATAATGAATGCATGAATCAGGGCTTTCACCCTATATGTTGTGGAAAATCTAAATATAGAGACTAATTAGGCAACCTAAATTAGCTAAAGGTGATTGTGAATTGCTTTAAACTTTCAAGTGATTTAAATAAGTTATTAGAGAGAGGAGCATTTAAATACCCATCAGTGAAATCATAAAACAGTAGGAAAATTTTTTTATCAAGCAATATGTAGATATTTGTTACATATGTCTACATCGGAATAATATTTTCTCTTCAGATAAGCTGTGGATAAACATTTTCAGAAAATTATATTTTATTAAGTATTATTTCATTTTAGTAATGATTTAAAATTCCTTTGAATTAATTAATTTTATGAAGAACAAGATATAGTGTTTTTAAATTCAATCTTCTAACTTAAAATGAAGGCAGTATAAAAAAACCAAAAGTATGCTATTTGCTTAATTCTTAACAAACCATTTAATTTTAAGAAAATAAGGTTAATTATAATTATTTTGTGGATAAAATAGAAATGTTAATTAGTAAGAAACAGGGGATTGGATCTGGGGCTATGCTGTGTGGCTCAGATCATTCCAATGACGCTCTTTCTTAGAGCACAGTAGGAGGAAACAGTGACCCATAATTCATTTAATCCATATGATTGAAGACATGTGGTTTATTGATACACCTTAGGCATGAATGTGACCTTAGAAGCTGCCAGACTTGTCTCCATCCTGCCCCAGTCAAAAGCATTGAAAGCACTCAGCGCTCCATGTTCTAGCCTTAACACAACTGTCATTAGGTAGACATTTGGAGAATTACACTGGTTTAATGGCTGCCTTTATCACTGGACATGCATTCTATAAGGGCATGGTCATTGTCTCCATCGGTCATTGATGGATACTTGCAGTAAACATTATCTCTACCTAAGTACCATAAACGTACAAAGGAAAAGATTCAACAATATATGTCATCTGTGGAACTGAGCTTCAATTTTTATTATGTTATTTTACAAATGTTCTTATTGCACATTTCATTAAAGGTTAGAAACATTCATTAATGGCTACCATTATTTTGTTACTAATGGCCCAGGACAGTGATTGGATAAAATGATTTTCTGATGTTGATGTTATAAGGTTGGAGTAAAGCTTGCCAAATCTATCTATCTTCAACTTTCCTATCATAAAACTCTCTCTTTCCAAAAGATGTGTTTGGGGGAGTAAAAGACAACACTATAAAATCAGTATATCTCAAAGCACTTCTTATTTTCTATCCATTCCACAGAGAGTAGTGCAAAATACAAGCTATTAGCAGCTGTTTTGAGGAGTGCGTTTGTATATTTGCTAGTAGCATGCTCATAAATAAATGATTATATTTTGGAGAGAAGAGAGACTTACCATGGGGCCTGGTGGGCCATGGGGCCCTGGTGGGCCTGGTGGGCCTATGATCTGTATGTCCAAAAAATAAACATGGATTTGGTTACTTCATTTAGATAAGGTGGTTTGGCTTGAATCTTTGGCTGGGGTTTTGTGAAGGTCACTAATAGTTGCAGAGAAAGAAGGATACTGGAAGAAGTGATGTGTTTGATTCTCTAGGTTTAGAAATTTCTTCATGAGAACAAAAACTTAAAAAAAAGTACAGTTGTTTCACAAAAGTCAGAATAAAGCAAAAGTACATTAAAAGAAAAGGAAGCAACTGATTACCAAGAAATGCTATGATGCTACAACAACTATTAAATTTTCATATATTGGGTTTTTGGAAAAGTCATTACGTATTTTTTCTGTTTTTCATTGCAAAAATGCATCATGACTTTTCCGATAACCCAATATTTCACTAAGCAACAACAGGGCTCTAAAGAAAAAAAAATGTATATTCTATATTCACAAAGCTCTACCCACAAGCGTCGTGGGAAAACCATTGATTTTCTCCTCAGGACTAGACAGCCTTCTGAAAAATTGCCTCTGAGACATTTTGTCTCTCACTGTACAAGGTCAACAGATATTTCTTCTACAGTTTGACAAACGAACAGGTTCATGATCTTTCCATTTTTGATAAGCCATGTGACACAAGTTGAATGAGACGAATAATAAGTCCATTTTAGAGTTTTTCAGAAACATGGCAGTTCAGCCATACAGACTTACGGAAGGGCCCTGAGGACCTGGCAATCCAGAGTCTCCTTTTTCCCCTTTCATTCCATTGGCACCCTACAAATAACCATTAAAAGAGTTGAGCTGGCCAAGTTATTTCCAAAGTGTAAGAAACAGCTGAAATTTGTCCCTAAACCCATCATACTCTTGAAATTTTTATATTATACATATGATATGTAAAAGAAGGATTTATCCCCCTGCATTTTAGCCTTAAACAGCAAGCTTCCTCAAATCTCTAGGATTGTGGGTAATATGTGAAATAAAATATAAAGTAAATACAAACAAAGTTAGGTTTGATTGGTTAAACTTATGTATTGCTCACTATATCAGATTATAAACATTATATTTTTTTATGATTACGCTCACTTTATAAGGCAAAGGTCAGTCTTTTAACTATGTTCTCACTGACATTTATTTATATACTTCCTTGTTTTAAAAAAAATTGAGGGCAGTGAGGTTTTCTACATTTTTGTCCTACTTTTTTTTTTTTTAACAATTTCCCCTCCCAATTCTCAGTAAAAATTATGAGTGAAAAAAACCATAAAAACACCATCCTAGAACATGTTCCACAGTAATTTGTTTTTCAATTGTTTTACATTGCTTAGTTTATTTTTTATTATGGTTTACTTTAAAATGATCAGTTATCACCATCGTATGCATGCTAAATTAAAGTGACCAACTTTATTTTACTATATTATAGTGAAAATAATTCAGGAAAACATGAAGTTTTATTTTGTAATTCATTTGTTTAGATTATTTAAAATTTTAAGCCTCACTTGTAGTGATTAATCAATAATACACCAATTCTTTAAAAATAAGATTATATGAACCATTAGATGATACTGAAGCTTATAATATAATTATTCTCATTATTTATCTTAATGTGAACACATCATAAAAAGTATAAACATACCGGTAATCCAGGAAGTCCGATTCCTCCTTTTTCACCTGGCATACCCGGGTCCCCCACATCTCCCTTTGAGCCTTTGAGTCCCTACAAAATGATATGGTTTGCATTTAAGAATTATAATGACCCTTGATAATTACGTCCTCGGGAAAAAAAATTCCAGATCAATTTTGTTAATAGGTAGATCTTACACGGAGATGATACTCATTTTTATTTTTAGGTAGAGTTATTTCTTATAGCAACCTTCTACATTGAATCACTACTACTTACCTATATAATAGAAGAAATTAAATTCTATCAATTAGACCATTTAAGTATGGAAAACATGAACTTAGGTGCTGACTTTATTTTTCCTGACCCCATATTTTTACCTGGCAGCTAATTTTACATCACCAGTCCTGAAAACAATTTAATGGATTTAATTCTCAAGAGTGCAATATACATTTGAACTAGGACCTAGTGTTATAATAACAAAGGTCCAAATAAATATCCCCATATCCCCCTTCAAAGCAGACAGGAGTTCCCATCACCGTCAGTTTTCAATGGTCCAATCTACAGACAGGTAAATCATTCACGGCACATTAATGATCAATCAATGCTTAGAAATACTTCAACTTTTCCACAATGTTCTTATTTTGTTCTTATGACATCCCTATGAGGTGATCCAGGTTGTTATTTTTATTCTCTTTTTTACAGTGAGGAAATAGATAAATGTGTATTTTGAATGCTAACAAATGTGAATATTATGATACTAATACTGAGCTTTCATCAAATAAAACTCAGTGCAATATGACCAGATGACCCATTCTTCAGCAGAGATAATCATAGCAAGAGGTTCCAAGCCTACACAACCTATTCATCTTTTCTATACTAAAACCCGCTGTGGACAGAAAAGTGGCTTTTCTTGTTACTTACACCTATTTCATAGCACCTACTGAAGAATTGCCCACAAAGTGGGTGGGTGGGTAGGTGCCTGAATGGATAAATGAGTCTTACTGGTAAGTCACACCCTGGTTGGTTTTAGGAATCTAGTGATAGCAGAAGAATAGCCAACCCACTGGACTTAGTAGCAGAAGAAGACTTTGTAACGCCTATAGGAAAAAAAGAAATCCAGATATTGTATATTTAGGGACCATGGATTATGTCATTACACATGTCAAATTATTTATAATGACTAATAATGGGAAAGGTAATATACAAGCAGATTTAAAAATTCTAATGTGATCTCTGATTTATATAACAATCATGTAAAGTCTATTTAACTACCAGGTTTATTTAACATGACATCATGTAATTTCAACATACATCTCTGATATTAAAATAACTCTTCTCTTAAACTTAATTCTCTTATCTAATACTCTAATACTATCTCCAGAGACATTTCACTAACTGTATCAAGAATCCCCCTGATTTCTTATGATCTACTTGATTTTAGCCATTCCTTGGGTAAATAACGGGAGCTCAGAAAAACTAATCCTGTGATTCAATTCTGAATTTTGAATACTGTTCACAGTCTCCTGGCCAGAGTCTTTTTGGCTTATGGGCTAAATCCAGCCAAGGGCTTGTTTCTGCACAAGCTGAATACTTTTAAAAAAATTTAAGGGTTGTTAAAGAAAAAAAAAAAAAGACGTGACAAAGACTGTATGTGGCCTGCAAAGCCTAAAACATTTATTTATTATCTGATCAGTTATAGGAAAAGTTTGCCAACCTTTGTTCAGGGGAAACCCTTGGAGAAACTGCCACATTCTGCAAAGCTACTAGTGCCCTGTTTGTTTCTGTCTTTTCTAATGGTCTAGAAAATTAGGTATACTTTTTTAGGAAAAGAAAACATTGTCAAAGTAACACAAGCAATATCTAATTTTGTGGAAACTATGGTCACTAATTTTCAGCTTGAATTATTTGTATTCATTGACAAAAAATTAGGCTATTCTTACTAAATTGGTAATAATTTTACAAGTCTATTGAAAATTCACAGTGGTACCACTGGTAGATTGATAAGGAGTATTAAGACAAAACGAAAGCATCATATAACTTGTACTTGTATGTTTCTGCAAAAAAAGAAAAAAACCAAACTGTCTAAAACCAATTTCTTTTTAGAGTTAATGTAGTCTCCAGAACAGATGGTGAAAAAAAAGAGAGGATATCATATATCAACACTCATGTCTTTTTGGCTTCAAACCTATAATAAAAGTAGTGATCAATAATGATGCTTTAAATGACAGCATGTATCTTTGAAAATTACCTGCTCTCCATCAACTCCTGGGATTCCTGGAGATCCTGGCTCTCCCTGTTAAGATAAAAATTGATGGCTTCCTTCCATTTATCATTGGTAGCATACTAAACTAAATAAATATGTTGCTAGTTGGTAACAGTACAATTTGACTTTCAGCAAATGCATCATAATCCAAGAAAACGCTATTACATCATACCACATATCTAAACTAAGTGAAATAACATTTTCTTGAATATTATGTACAACAATACTTATATGTGGTTAAGGTGCAGTGTTTTTATTTATTTTTTCCCATGTGAGATACAAGCTAAAAAAAAAACTGGTGAAAGAAAACTGATAGAGATCATTTGATAGCTTATCATATCCTATAGCAACAACCTATAGGCCTCAGTTAATTTTTTTCTCCTTAAAAAAATCATATAATTTCTCTTATTTTCCAATTTGAGAAAAAGCAAAAATATGACAGTTATCTTAAGAAAGAATAAAATGCAAAGCCTCATAATTTCACAATATTTTAACTGGTACTGTTTGAACCGTGGACACAAATTCATAATGACTGTGAATGTGTTACTTTCAGATAAGCCTCACTGAAGGATATAATAAATCAGATAATATCTTAATCCACATAAAATTGCTTTTGGATCAATTCAATTTCCTATACTATGCTAGGAATGAACTAAATTTAGTATTTATATCATGATTTATTAGAACCCTTGACAAACCCAAAATATATAGATTTATGTTTCCTTAACTGAGGATCTTCCATTAAAAACAAACTTAAACAATGTGCTAGAGATTTATTCAAACAACAAATATCCGGTCACCTTTCATCTGCAAAGGCACTGAAAAAATTCTTTGAAAGGCAAGACATTTTACATCAATGAATTACATATTTGGATCTCATTATAAATATCCCTGGTTTCCACACTGTGGAAGCTTTGTAAAAACAGGTCTTTTGAGGGTGAGTGGCCTGCCTCACAGACAGATTTGCAAAGGGAGCTGACTTGAGGCTGTATTTTTCTAGAAAGGCTTGTTTGGTGATATTATAAACCACAGTATTGGAATGGCTGGATCTCTCTTCCCTGGTAAAAACTTTAAGAGCTATTGGCCACAGCATGAAATTTGAGCTTTCCAGTGTTTAGGAAGGTATGACAAACAAATGAAAAAAGAAAATAAAAGAAAGGCCTTCCTTATTTCAGATTTCCTGCTCTTTGTGGTGGCAGCAAAGTTTATTTTGCCACAAACAAGCCTGCTGAGGTTGGATGCAACTGGCTAGCCCTAGTTTCATTGTGTCTGAGTACTTGTCAGCACTCTGGGTCCAATAACGATTGCTTTGCTAAACTTTTACCTTCGAAATGTGACCCGTGAATGTTTAAAGGGAAAACATAATTCATGAGTCATTCATTTCTCCTTCAGCCATCGAAAGTAGTTTGTCAAGTTATTGGATGTGTAAGCGGTCGTACAATCCTCTTTTGATCAAGTAAGGAGAAACGCTAAATGAATAGCTCCCCATTTATTCTGAGGCTGAATCCTGCATGAGAATGGGATTTATATTTGACCCAGCTGTACTTGTTGACTCGTGGTCATAGGCACATCTCACCCCAATTGTCCCAACTTTCTCAAGGAGAGATCACGGAAAGCATAAAGGACTATGTCAACTAACCTAAGATCTCAACTACAAGACCATTGTGAGGTGTGAGGGGTAGGATACAGTGACAGCACTGTGGAAAGGGTGGCAGGGGGACGAGTTAAGAGAGTATGAATAACCACCTCCATGCACCACATTCATTTGGCCAATTTCCCCATCTTTAAATTTCAGCTTGAAGCCATCCTTGGTTCCCAAGGCTGAGATGGGCTTTCCCATTTTTCTCTTAAAGCATTTACTCTATTTGTAAATAATTATTCCTTTACTTGTCTATCTCCTTCCCCAGGCTATAAGCCTCTTGTTGAAACTCCTTACTATATCCCTTAGTCTCTTTACTAGATATTAGTATTTATCACAGAGTAAAGCTCAAAAATTACTCATTCAATGATTGAATTAATAAGTGAATAGCAATTGGATTATAAAACAAGGGGGATGTGGGTTTGGGCTAGGTGGTCCTTTTTGCCCCTTTGGGTCAAGGGGTGGGTACTTTTTGGGCTTCTGTAGGCCTTTGGGCTGTAAGGAAGATTCAAGCACTGGACGTTGAGGTTTGTAGGGAATGAAGTACATATTTAGCACTGGGGACAAATTTGGTTCTGGGGACTCAGTCAAGTGAAGAGATGAAGCAAGAAATTCAGACCTTGGTTGACTCTACACAAAGGAAGAAGGAATCTGTGTATTTCCTTTTAGATTGTTTACTCCAGTTCACCGAGATATTTAAGAATAAGAATCCAGACTGACTCGCTCACCAGGAATAAAGATTGTGTGTGACTGGTGTGTGTGTGTGTGTGTGTGTGTGTGTGTGTGTGTGTGTGTGTGTGTGTGTGTGATCTCTTAGGGACCAGAATGTGGTGGAGAAATAGAAAGTTAAAAATCCCAACCTTACATTGCTATACAGGAAATCTGTTTGAAATTAAGGTCTATGTTCAAATATATCTCACATAGCCAAAGAACTCAGTAATATTTTGCTTTATACTCCTTTTTATAATAGAAAAAATAACTTTTTTTTGTGCTAGCTTTCTCTGTTTTTAGGTATCTTGTAAGGTAAGAGTATGAAAGCTGGCATGTGTGCGTGTGTGTGTGTGATAGATTTAGTAAATAAACTGCCTTAAGAGGCATAAACAAAAAATGGATTTCTAAACTACTTGAATCATCTACAAAAATTCAATGACAAAAGTCATATTTCAACACATGTAACTCAGTTCTGAAAAGCCAGAGTGATTGGTCTTGTGTTAATTTATCAAATGTGCTTGTATAACTAAAGCTTTAGATTGGAGGGAAAAAGCTATCACCACCACCACGTTTCAGATATAATCAAGTAATTCTAGGTTTCTACTGTTCATAGTTGGTATGTTTCATTAGATAAGATTTAAATGGCAGGATGTCTGAATATATATAATAACAGATGTGTTATAAAAAATGATTCAAAAATGATTCCTAAAATTGTCATTTGTGGATGCATTATGCTAGAGCTTCCCTTGTTCTTTTTATTATCAAAGGATTAGAGGGAAGGATTTTTTTTTAGAGTCAGAATAAATGTTCTTTCAATCCTCCTCTATTTAAATATTTTCCCTTCTTCAGATACTATACTTAGTGTTTCTTTACATTTATAATTTCTGTAAAACTTGTTTTTCCCTTGCTTAATATTCTGTTTTTTTCTGAATGTCCTTTTTCAAAATTTAATGCCATTCCTATTTCTCTCCCTTATTTCCTAATTTTCCTTTTGTTCTGATCCCTCTTCCTTTAGCCCAAACTTGAATTTCTATTCTTAGCTCTTTTAAGCAATATTGCTGATGTCAGCTTCTCTAGCATTTTGTAAGATTGATTTTCAAAGATACACTTATTTAGTATGGGATTCTCTGCACCACATGTAGTAAATGGAAACAAGTAAAATAAAGAATAACCTTTGGCCCTTGTAGTCCTTGAGGTCCTGGTGGTCCAGGGGGACCCTAAATCCAGAAAAGACAAAGATTAAAAAGTAACCAAGTATATCTATTAAATTTTACACTTTAAATAATAAGTACACTATACACAGTCCTAATTTATATCATAATCAAATATCCCCTGATGTTGATTTGCAATGAGGAAAAATTTCACCAGTTACAAAATTATAAAAACTACCTATTTGTAAAAACATCAACAAATGTTTAGGCCAAAATAATACTGAAGGTGCTTTTGAGTTGATTCATAAGACAATGTAAAATTGCTGCTGAATCCTACATTTATTTTGTTGGGTTAAATTAGCTTACTAATATCTGTGTTTCTAGACAGTTCTCTCCGCCCCCTCCACAGGCTTTGATTTCCCAAACACCAAAGAACAAAGCTATATTATTAAGATAAAGCTAAAGATTTTAAAGAAAAATAACTCTTTTTTCCTTGACTTTTTCATGAAGCACACAGAGTGATTGAACTGGGGCAAATGTTATAAAAGATTAGTAGTAAAGAAGACATAAAGTTAAATATCAGATAAAAACAATTGCTACATTAGTACCATTATGAGCAGCATGCATCAATACCATATATAGTTATAAACCACAGAAATCATGCAATAGGAGTTACCGTGACAGTTAAGGTGGTAATCCTCTGTTGGGAAAATGCATTGATAAAGACAGAGTTACCTATATTGTATGCCAAAGTACAATAATACATTTCTAAAATAATCAACTTTTTGAATGTATCTTTGCAAGACTGATGCCATAGGAATTCCTGACAAGATACTCAGAGCATATTATCTTATCTTCAAATGAATACAATATATTGTAAAGATTCTTTTAAAAATTATTTTTAGAAGTTTATTTTAAAAATCTATGGATGAGAAAAAAAGAGTGTCAGAATTTGATTTAAAAATAGTATGTAGTCAAATAATATACACTAGCGGTTTGTGACCTGAGAAATTTCACTATTCTTAAGAGCTCTATTCCAGAGCACTTCGATTAGAGAAAACTGACCGAAGTATCTAATTGTGTGACATTTTTTTCTCTTTTAGTCTGTAGTGCATTTGTTGCATTATAATCAGCTGTGTGTCTGTGTTTGTGTGTGTGTGTGTGTGTGTGTGTGTGTGTGTGTGTGTGTGCGCGCGCGCGTGCTACACACACATGACTAAAGATAGGAGCTGCCATGGGATTCATCTAGTTTTTTAACATAAAGTGCTAGAGTGCTGTAACAAAATATATTCTCTTAAAGTGTGAATCTCTAAAACATCCACCCCCTAAACCATGCATCATTTTTGTATTAATATTTTCTAGTCTAAGTCTTGTGTTAAATATTCTATTGGACCTATCACCACTTTTCGAATCATAGAGGGGGAAAAATTCTCCATTAGGGACTCTAGTCATAAATGTATCCAATTACATGTAAACTTGTGAATATTGGTTTAACACCATCCCTTTGTTTCCAACTACTCCATTCCAATTTCTAATTCAGGTTGTTGTTGCTGTTTTTTATTATTGTTGTTATAAAAAATAATCATAACATTATCTTATTTCAAACACTTAACCGAGTCTCTAGTGGCATGGTGTCATTATTCCTTAGAAAACAATATATGTGTGCATATGTACAAATGGTTCAAGTTTGTACTCTATGGTAAAATACAGTTATAGTCATTATAGCTTCAGAGAAAACATAGGAGGAGTGCTTCTAAGATAAAGGTAAAACGGCCATGATTTTTATACCATCATATCTGTGCAACATAAGACACCACTTACTTTTTTCTTAGGGGATTCACCTGAAGCAGCGGTTCTCAACCTGTGGGTCACGACCCCTTTGGGGGTTGAACGACCCTTTCACAGGGGTCGCCGGGTACTCGTATGTGGGCATATCTGCATGTGGGCCTGGAGACGGATAGAGGAGCAGTGTCTCGGTTCCTAAGACCATCAAAAATATGTGTTTTCCGATGGTCTTAGGGGACCCCTATGAAAGGTTGAGAACCGCTGACCTAAAGCAAGAGTTGGATTTATGGTTACAAGAAAGCTATGTCTTTGCTCCTATAGGTAGATGACTCATTTTAAACAGGCTATTAGAAAATTATAGAGGAGAAATAATTTATTTATCACTGCCTTCCAATTACATATTGCAATTTTCACTAGAAAGCCAAATCCTAAGGCCTTAGAAAAGGAAGGGAGTTTAAAATTTGAATTCTTGGAGGTTTTCCAACATGCTCTATATATGATTCATTTTTCAACTAAACAAAAAACTAGTTTGTCTTTTTTTTTTTAATTTAAGGATAACAACATGTTTTATGATGAGGTGCATAATAAAGGAGTATTATTAATGGCAACTGAACTATTTAACAGGTGGGATTTAAATCACATTGTTAAATAACTATACTTCTGAGACCTAAAAATTATATAGGGGAAGTTCCATCCAATCAATAGAACGAATGACAGAAAACTACATTAAATTCTCAAAAACGGGTTTTTACTGTATCCCAAAGCACCAGTGTGCAGACACATAAGAGTAAGGTTGTTTGCTCACTTTGGATTTCTTGTATGTGGTTCCTCCAAGTTAAAGCTCCATAAACTCGGCAGAATTCTCTCTTGAAGTCCAGTAATGATTTGGAAACCAGAGTTTTTGGGAGTGATGAGGAAAAACATGCCATTCTCTAGTGAGGCATGATGGGAAAGGGAGGCATGAGCTAGAGTGACTGCAGACGGGTGCAGGCTATCAGGCTGCTTCGTGATTTATTCCGAGATGCTTATGTGAATCTCTTTAGAATCAAAGGCTATTTGCTTTCATTTCTCATCAAAATGCAAGCTTAAAATCACCCATGTCTTACACTAGAGGACAGGTTTAGTTCAAATGGTCCTGAGGAACTTTAAAAGCTTGAGTTAGGAAATGGGAAGACTTTACTGCTAATTATGGAAATAGCTTAAGAGCATAAATGGCTTATGGCGAATGTTCATGTAAACAACTTTCAATAGAGGCAACAGTAAAATTTTATATTTCTAATTTGATAATTTTACAACGGTAATATACTCCTATTTATCTAATTGTCTTAGATTTTTCTTTTAGAGGAGGCAAGTGAAATGAAATCAGCAAAACTGTGACAATCCATCACTGGCTAGAGAATTAGAAAAATAAATGTCTACTACTTCCTCTCAATCTAACAGTTATTTTACTTTGGTTCATTTTATTAGGGACTCAGTCCACTAGAGTGCCTTATTAGGAAAACAAATAAATAGTTTTGAAGTGAAAAAGATAACTATAAGCTATTTTATAAGCAGAATATATATATATATACATATATGTATATATGTGTGTGTATATATATATAACTATATATATATATATATATATATATATATATATATATCCTAACAAGCCCATAAGAATGATAAATCTTTAGGTTTGAGACATAAACATGAACTAGTTGATGATGATGGGTATTGACTTGTGTACAGTCATACAGAACTCCAGGTGAGAAAAAGAAACTGAGCACAAATATCCTTTCATGTCAAGATGCAGGTGTCAGAATATTAATAAAGTGTGTTTAGACACACCAGCAAAGAGTTTTCCGGAGCTCCTGAAAAATAAGCCTAAACATAATATCAGATTTTATAGACTCTTAAATCTATTCCAAAAAATTTCCTTGTTTTACAGATCAGCTCAATGAAGTATAGATACATTAAGGGACTTCCCCAAAATGACTTAGCTAGTTAGTAGCTGAAGGGAGCTCAATGCAGAGCTTTCGGTTTTAGGCTAAGGGTCGCTTCCTCCATACCAGTCCCTGTTCATTCACAGGGTGTTTTAAAAGGACTCTTTCACAATTTTTCAGAAAATGGCCAATAATATTGCAGCATTTCTTGGAAGGTAAGAGAATGGATATCTCTTAAAGATGGTAGTAAGGATTATGATTAAAATATATATATGTAGACACTGGAAGCAGTTTAAGGGAAATTTATTACACTGCTACTAAATTAAGTTTAAAAAAATGTGTCCCTATGTTTTATAAGTAAGAATTTTTATAACGTAGTAGGTACACCTAAATGTCATGTTCTGTTTCTCTCTTTCTTTATATATGTCATTATCAAATTTTGGGAAAAGGGAACAATTTAGAAAACTGGTTCTAGGATTTCACAATAGCCCAGAGGCTACTGCTCACGTGTAACCACTTGGACTGAGGAGCACTAATTCAAGCTCTTGCCTGAACATGCTGCCCCAGCAACGTTTCTCTAAGCAGTAAGCATGCTTCTCTTTGCATTTTACCAGAAGAAACAGCATGGAAAGAGCAGAAAAACAGGTTGAGCTAAAGGTAGATTCTATAAAAACTACTTATTACTCTACTAGTTAAAAATGGTAGCAAAGGACCTATAGAAATGGTATGTTTATCATAATTAGAGAATGTTAGTGAAGTCATAAGGATGGAAAAAAACCCAAACAAGTACAAAATAGCAACTATTTAAAACAACTGATTTGGCTTTCAAGCAAACAAATGGATTGTACGTATGAGTTAAGTGTAGTCACTCGTTCAACCAATAACAGTTTGTTTAATATTTACACCCAGACCTGTGTCAGGCATGTGGTGGCATACAGAGTGAGCATAAGATGTCTCCTGGAAGTGACCGAGTAACTTCCAGTCCGGTAAGTGGCAAGACTAGAATTATGCAATTTGAGAAGAACTGAATGTTAAACAACTGGGCACTGACTGCTAATGTTTAAAAGAATAAAGAGGAGGAACTCATGTGGGTGGTGGCATTGGATTGCTGGAGAAGATTTACATGGAGAAAAGAAAGGAAAGAAGAACGGGATGAACTAGGCAAAAAGAGGGGGATTTTTATGGATATGATAAATATGAACACTTCCGAGGAAAAAGTGTGTTGTGGAGAAATAGAAAATTCTGTATAGGAAAGGCAAAATTATAGAGCCTTAAAAGTCAGATGGAGAAGTTTGAGCTTGATAGAGTAGGTGACAGGGTCCATTTAGGTTTCTGAACAGATTGGAGCCATCCAAATAGTGACAATGAAGAAAAATTAGCCTTGGAGTGATATACAGGATGGATTAGAAGGGCGAGGAGGCACTAGGGCAGAGGAATTGGGCGAGGGCTTGTTGCAGCGTTAGACAGAAGTAAACAGGATGCGGACCTAGTTGGAAATAGATAGAATAGGGGCAACTTCAAGAGATACTTTGAAAAAGGAGACAGTAGCATCTGATGAGATATAATGGATAAAGGATGAAGAATAGCTTTAAAATGATTCTGAAGTTTCTATCTCAAGAAATTCAAAGACTTATGGTATCATGAACAGAAACTGGTAAGTTCAGAAAGGGAATCATTTGCTGGTGGCAAAGGTACCCAGTTTAATTGTGTGTGCTGGTGGAACTTGATAAGGCACTGGTGCATCCATAGTAGAAATATTCCAGGACAGCTGGGGGTACATGCAGATCAGAACTGGCGATGAAAGATTTGAAAGCAGCCATAACATGGAAGAACATGGAGTGACTGTACCAAGAAAAGACGAGAGATTGAGGATATCAAAACTTAGGTAATGGACAGAGAAACTGGAAATACTAAAATAGAGTAGATCCATCAAAGAAGAAAACCTAAAAGAAATAAGAGTAGAGGATCAGAGAAACTGGAAAGAAAAAAGTTTGAAAAGGAAGGTGGGTTAGTATAAATGTCACAGAAAAGTCAAGGGTGATAAGTAGAAAGGGCTTGGCCTGGAGGTCATTATTAACCTTTATAAGAGAAATGACAACAGAATGATGATACAGGCTAGAATGCAAGAGTCTAAGCATGAAATGGATGAATAGGAAGAACAGGTGGTGGAACAAGCCACACAGTCTGTGGTTTTTACTGAATAGAAAATAAAGAATTGAATAGTAACAGCAATAAAAAAAAATGCCTATAGAGGACTAGTTATGTGCCAGGTATTCGTCCATTGCGTATAATAAACCTGAGTAGTTACTACGACTGTCCTCATTTTACCAACGAGAAAACTGAGGCACGGAAAAGTCAAATAACTTGCCCTGGGTCATGCATTTAGTAAGCAAGAGAGCTGAGATTTGAACCCTGGTAACTTCAACTCTGGAGCCACGAGGCTCTACATTGCTTTGCTAGTCCTGCATTTCAAATAAGGAGACAAACATTGGTGAAACTGACACAAGGTTTAAACCAGGTAAGACTTAAGCAGATTTGAAGGTAGAAGGGAAAGGAAAGACTGCAAGATTGAAAAATGCTAGGAAATACAGAGGATAAACTAGGGCAGGAAGAAGGCGATGGGTTTAGCATTGGGAGAGTGTGCTTTGAACAGTGGAGCCCTCGGGATGCGAGGGATGCAGAAGCTGATATTTACACACATTACATGGTGCTCATTGGTGTCACTGCCTGTGTCAGGTCAGGGAACAGTCACTTGCCTGCAAGGCTTCATGGAGGTTGCCATTATAGTCTATGATCTCGGTGGCTCCTTGATCCCCCTTCTGACCAGGTGGACCCTATAAAAAAAGACCAACCAAGAGAAAATCATAGGGGTTAGGCTAGAATATTAAAGGGACTATGGCAAAAACAGAAGTAGCAGTTTGCAGCTCTCTTTGACCATCAATGCCCGACTAAGGCACAACTGTACTTTACAATACAATATAATCACGCTTGAATTTTGTCCTTTGATTTCAAAGGAGACAAACCATTTCTAACTTCCTGTCTGTGGTACGTTAAAGATATGAAATCTGAAAAAAAAGAGAGATGATTCAATCTCTGAAACTGTTTTCTGAAAATTATAAAATGTAGGCTAATCTGATTTGACTTGCAAACACTTATTGGCTTTATCCATATTCATTAAAGCAACCCCTAACATTTTCTATAACTCATACATTGCTTCCTCATTCTTTAAGAAGATAGAACACTGTTCTTCGGAAATGCCTGGTTTTCCCAACAGGAATATAATTCCATTAAGATGAAACAAAAAAAGGGGAACACAAAGGAGAATACATATATTTTTAAGACATCTACCCTATTCACTAGCTCTGCCAATGAATTTCCATTAGTCATGTCCTAATTCCCTGCCTGTGTTTCAAAAAGGCTCTGAAAGTATGAGTTATTGCTTTCGTTATAATTTGGTTAACTGAAAATGGAAAATTCTACCAGCTGGATGGCTATGGGCTTCCTATTGATCATGTAGCAGAGGGGAAAGTAGATTGAGAGCTCTTTAGACCTTCTTGTGAGCTTATTTTTGTGTTTAAATCTGTATGCACATTGCTCCTGGTTACTAAAATTAAAAATAATAGGAAATGGGGGGTGGGGGTGGAGGGTTAGCAGCACTACAGTAGTCTACCTCCAGTGCTATTATTTGTTAATATCAGTCAGGTGCCTTATGAAAAGCCTCACAGACATGTACTTCAAATCTAGGCATATAGGGGTCAAAAGCTTAGATGAGAGACACACTCACCCTTGGTCCCAGGGTTCCAGAGTCCCCTTTGTCTCCACGGTCACCCTTTCCCCAGTGAAAAGAAACAAAATCCTAATTAGTAGTTGGGCCAGCAGTCTCGACATATCTCAGATTTAATACCATACAGCAGCACCCATAATACAAACTTTAGAAGTGGAAATAACTGGACAAACAATAACCACCGACAAGGCAAATGCTTCTTTAACATGCACCTTGAAGTGAATTAAAACTCCCCTTCAGACTGGAGAGCACCTTCGAAGAACAATATATATGTTAACTCTCTCACTAGGGAACTTCAAAAGCAAGTGGTTTCCATGACACCCAAAGTATGCTTTTACCTCTCAGATTGAGCCATGTTTTTGCCTTTATATGAAAAGATGGGACAAAGGGACAAAAAGCTAACCACTTCAGCTGTCTGTCCTCTGAGAAGAAAAGTGTAAATAACCGAGACAGAAGAGGAATGGAAAGCCACTTCTAGGGAGAAACAGGAGGAAAAGGTCACCAGCTAAATCTCCTTCTGATGATGGGAATCGAAGGAAATGCTTTTCTGTAGGTACAGGCATTTTAACACTCAGACGGTGCTGAAGTGGACAGCAGCTAGCAGGGATGAGTGGGCATGGCTGAAGGCCAGGGGCAGGGCAAACTCAGCTCTCTCTTATTTTCAGTGCCATATGGGAAATCTCTGAAGTTCCATTTACGGTGTTATTACCCCACCTGGAGAGACACCAGGAATAGTCCAAGCCTCAGACTGCACACACATCACTCAGAACACTCAAAATTCTCAGAAATCTAAACAGGAACATTGGAGAAAAGACTTGAACCTGTGTAGATTTGAAGGTTCTTTAAAACAGCTTCAAATTTATAGAGACCTTTTTCTAAACGGAACTCAAAGCTTTTGATGTCTTTCTAGATATTCCTATAACCTGGGTAAGGACAGATGAAGATAAGCAGGAAAAAAGATTATAGCTTTTATCTTCCACATTATGCTAATAACATTGACGATAATAATTAAACTTTCTATGAATGGAGAATTAATGATTTCTGTGGTTTTCCTCAGTTTGCACTCATTTTTTCATGTTATTAGATAATAGCATCTTAAATAACCTGATTCTGCTAGCAGTATGTAGATAATTGTAAATACTATAAAGAGCACGGAAAAGGAAAGAATTTCAATTGGTGGTGAAATTTTAATGCAATGAAAGGAGTCAACTAACTTAAAAGCAAAGTATAATTTGAACATATATCACGAAGAGAGCCAGGAAATAAAAAATAAGATGTTACCATATATAAATCAAGTAATCACTTAATTTTTTCCAAATAAACTATTTTTATGAAATAGGAAATACAACTTCTCTTAAAGTCTGAAGCACAGAACACACCGAAACAAACAAGAATGAAACAAACCAATTGTTTGAGATATCATCATAAGGATGAAATTATTGCAATTCCAGTGTGTGAAGGACTTTAAAACATGATTCTCAGTGCAAGAAGCAAAGAGCACAGCTCTTAAAGGCCTCATGTTACATTAAAATGATTACCCGGTTACTGACCTTTGACCCTTTTGGGCCTCTAGCTCCTGATTCACCTTGTTTCCCCTATTACAGGAGAATATGAAGATGAACAAGAGAAAAAGACAGAGGAGATAAGAACAGAAAAAAGAAATTAACAGCGACTCAGAACAATGAAGAAGAATGGAAACACTTTATTTTAACTGCCACCGTATCTGGTTCTATGTAATGTTGGCTATTAAAATGCTTAATGTAAGTATCATCACCATATCATTGGTTCATTCTCTGGTCTCCTCATCAACCTTCCTTCCACTATAACTGAAGACTGACCCCCCACCAGTGGATAGAAAGAGCTCTGTGACTAATTCTCATGAGTCTTAACAGTGTTTGCATAAATTTCCTTTTCATCAAAGAGTAAATAATTTCCTGTGTCTCTAGGATGGGTTGTTAAAATAAAGTGTTACCACATTAGTTTGCAGGAAGTGTAGAGGAGTAAAGATTAAACAGTCAAATAAATCCTTAGCTCTACTGTTTTCAAAGAGTTACCATCAAGTTACCATCGAAACTAACACAACACATAGCAATACTTTCTCAGTGTTTTAATACACATTGAGTGACATCAGTGTGTTAATAATAGTACCTCCCCCTTTACATTCAGATGTGTTATCATTAAACCTGTTCATTGAAAAGAACAGAGAAAACTGGAAAGGGAACTGTAAAATCCCTTTTGAAAAGAACCAATTGGTATGTATTTCAATAAATTTTTTGTGATTTTGGCTATATTAATATCTGTTGAGGAACTTTTAAATTTTTGTTTCATTTTCTAAAGCAAGTGGCACACATTTCCAAACCACAGAATGTCATTTTCCAATGTAAGAATCACTGACCTTTTGTCCAGGGGTTCCAGGCTCCCCTCGCTCGCCCCTTCCAGGAGGCCCTGCCTCCCCACGCTCACCCTGTCACAAATTGCAAAGCAGGTAAATGTCAATCCCGCTCCCTACTCCTCACTCCAACTGGTAGATTAATACATTGAATAAAACCAAAGAAAGCAGAGAGTTGCCATTTCTTTATCATGTACCCAGCACTGTATTAATCTCAACATGAATGATGTCATTTAATAAAATAATTGTTCAATAGACTGTATTATTCCCATTTGCTAGGTAAGGAAGTGGGTTGGAAAGATACTTATGTTGGTAAATAGAAAGACCTTTAAAGGGACTTGATAAGGTATGTCATGATACCTCAAAACAGGAATAGACGTAGTTTTCATTCTTAGCCACTTTCTAAGTCCTACCAGGAAGAAGCAAGGCAAAGTTAAGGTTAAGGCTTTGTACTGGCCTTAACTTGTCACTTTGTAATGGTCAGGCTTTGTAATCTCACATCCAGGGTCTTAACCCTGGCTGTTATTTACCAGTTCTCTGTTTTGGGGCAACTTAGTTAAGTTCTGAAAACCTCAGTTTCCTTTGAAAAATGTAGAAAACTGTAGTACTGATCTCATAACTTACAAATGTCAAGTGCTCAGCATGGTGCAAGACACATGGGTGTTACAGCTTTTTACTCTATTGACAGCTCTGTGAAGTGTGAACATGGTCACTGCCCCCAAGGAGCTGGTGATCTAGCTAGACAAAATCCACATGAGCAAAATAGTTAAGAATTCAGGGGTAATGTAAGGCCATATGTGAGACAAGAGAAAACCCCATTGGGTTTTCAGTGATCCAGACTGGCTCCCTGAAGGTGAGACGTAAGCCATGTCCTGAAGGATGAGAGGGTGTATTTTATAATTTTTGCTGCTTATGACTGCTATTAATGAGTGCAGAACTATACAAAACGCTTTACATGCATTATCTTATTCAGTCCTCAGAACATATGAAAAACGTATTCGTATTTATAGTCTACAGATGAGGAAAGTGAGGCTCAGAAAGGTAAGATAACTTTTCCAAAGTCACAAAGCTTTTAAAAAGGAGAGCTGTAATTTAGAACGGATTGTGCTCAATCTTTCATTTTTGTATACATATTTTTGTATGTTAATCTTTTGAGCATCGTTGGTCCTTTTCTTAGGATGAATTCATAGTTGGGGAATTTCTCTGTCATAAAGTAAGGACATTTTAGAAGTTTGCCAAATCACCCTCCAGGCAGATAGATGGTGCCGATCTATTCTCCCTGAACAGGGTAGTATGTCCAGCTTCCTGCATGATGGGTGAAATTTCAATAATCAAACAGGTTTTGAATTTAGACTGGTGGTGGCATGTTTATGGATGAGAGTGGCACCCTCCTCACTGAAGGAACTGATTCATCTTAGAAAGGAGAAGTAGGACTGGATCTGAGATGGGTGATGTAGGACTTAGATTCCAAGGTCTTTATCTGTATCATTCCCACTCTGGGAGGCCTTTGTACTTTTACAGGGGAGGTGGGATAGAGGTGGGCACAGATGAAAGAAGACTCAATGGGTTTCTCAGCATGAATGGAAGAAAGTGGGAAAATGGACAGGTGGGAGAAAGGCAAAAGACTTGACTGGATGCAGGAGATAGAAAAGACTCTCCAGAGAGATTTTTTCCCAGGAATTAGAAACTGAAGTTTTGGTGATATATGGACGTTTTAAAAGTACCAGATTTGATGTTTCTCTTAATATTTTACACAAGAGTTCTAAGATAGTAACTATAAACTTACTTTAGGGAAAAACAGAAACCTTAGAAAATCATTTACCTGTAGTATACCATAGGAGTGGAGTCTATATATCTTTACCTAGAAACACTTCTTAATTTCAGTGCCCCCAATGATTTGGTTATCACTCTCTAGAATTATATTATTTGTTTACTTCTTTCTCTCCTCCCACCCTCCCTCACTCATAGTGGAACGTAAGCTTCAGGAGAGTAGAGACTGTTTTCGCTGCCTTTACTCTCCATTCTCAAATACTAGCAGAATGTCTGGCAAACAAAACAAAACAAAAAAACTGAGTTAATGAATAAACAGTATGATTCAAAGTACTCTAAATTATTGGGAATAAGCCCCATTTCTTTAGACTAATGTTGGTCTCTCCCAGGACTGAGGTAAATGTTGAGGCTACAGCAGTGAAGAAACAGATGTTTAGAGGCCATTATACATCTTCTTTCATTGTGTTTTCTCTACTGTGTTGGGGGTATAAAATGCAGGGTTAGTTTATTTTTAAAATCTCAATTGAATGGTACAAATCCAGGCTGCCTACACAACTGGAAAAAAAAAACAACTAGTGTTTGGCTGGACGAGATTTCTAAATAATCATGACTTTTTCGTTGTGATACCAAATTCATGTGAAATAGGCAATTTAGGTGAAAATAAACTTCACAATATTGTTAATAAAATGAATTTCCTATCCACATTCCTTCCTGTGAAAATGCAAAGCAGGTACAGTACATTCTTTACTTTTACTGGGAATTCGGAGTAGTATCTGTTATAAAAGTATCTGGCCTGTAAAATTAGGCTGGGTTCTTCATGAACAGTAATTAATGTTGATTTTATGGCTCTCCATCTGGGTTATTTGGGAACTGCGGAATAGTTTAAAATCACTGAACTAAAGAAAAGATATTTAGGGATAAACTTTACTCTGTACTGCCTGTGTTGCTTCTGTTTTCCCTTGTTTAGCAAACCAAATGCCGCAAACATTTAGAGATGTAGTTCATGCCTGGATGTTGGGAGCACTGACCCGGTTCCCATTGTTTGTCTATATCCACGAGGGTGCCTTCTTTCTCTGAGGCTGCGAGTCTGAATAAGTACAACAGTTCTTATATGAACACAGAATGCTCATTATTCTCTTGCTCACTCTCTCTCTTTTTACTCCAGAAAGTGTGTTTCTTGTGTGAATCTGTTCAGGCTAAATCAGGCATTCCTCATATTTTGTTAATAAGCCTGACAGCTCATTATGGGAAAAAGAAATTGCTCGAACAACCAGCAATTTTGCATAAATTTGATTGAGATTCAGCTTCCCTTAGGCCACACAGTTTCCATTTACTAGGATTAGAGTTATTTTCTTTTGGCCAGTGGGAATGAGGACCTCTCTCTCAGAACAGACCATAAACACATTTCTCTAGCTCCTGGAGTCATCCTGGCTGATTTTTGGTGAATGCAATACATACGAAGGCAAAGACTGCTATGGTTTAAAAATAAAAGCATGTAGTTTGATCTAATTTTGCCCTTTCTTTGATTCATGAGTCTGTCATGAGTAAAGTTCCATCCTCAGAGTCGTACCATTTTATGTCTTAATGGGTAGATAAAAAGAGAACTGTAAGCCTGACTGTATCCACAGCAACATAATTTTTTTATATGGTGCTATATAGATTGTGCTTTTAGAGCCCTCTCTAGGGTTGCCAAGTGGAAGATCATGAGATGGTTTTCATTACAGAATCTTTCACAGACGTTATTCAGGATGGATCCTTTTAGGATGAGGCGCTTAGGAATCTATATGATATCAGGACTCCCTGAAATCTAGGAAGTGATGTAGGAATAATAATAATAATAATGTTTGATTTACAAGTATGTCCTAAAATCAGTGATAAAGAGCAGGGGTTAATAGGTTCTAGCTTGCCTGCTCAGAATTCCCCCTCTTTTTCATATGACCAGGAAGCTAAAAGCATCGCATCAATTTAGGAGCAATTTGGAGGACAACTGGAACAACTAATATATTCCACCTTTGTGTGTCTTGACTAACTAAGGCTTTCTAAAATTAACTTCTTATTTCTCTACTTCATATGGTATCCCCATTAGAAATGTTAGTATTGGGTGGTAGGCTGCTTTAGTTTTCTACTAGGCAAAAACATATGGTCACCTAAATAATAACGTTACCCCACATTTCTTTGAACATAATGGACTAAAACTATATGACAAAAAAATTCAGAAAGAAAGGGAAAAAGATGCCACTCACCTTTGTGCCTGGTAACCCTGGTAAGCCTGGCTCTCCTTGAGGACCAATGAAACCTGGTTCTCCCTTTAAAAAGATGGGCATATGAGATCGTTATTCATTTGATAATAAGTAAACTGGTTTCCTTCTACTGGGATTTTACTGCTTTGATTGTATACAGCTTTCTTGCTGCGATCCAGCTACTGACTATAAAATTAATCAGAATAGGTTTTGATCAATGAAAATAGTTTGAGCAAAGCTTTGGAGAAACTTTAGCAAGTTAAAGTGGCAAAGCAACCACATACATGTCTTTATAATTTCCTTTCTCATCTGTTGTCCAGCGCTTCTTACCCAAATACCAAATCCAGTTATGCTTGGGCAGCTGTGGTAGGTGGCCTCTAAGATAGGCGTAAATGATCCCACCTCCTGGTAGTCACGCCCTGGTGTAATGCCCTCGGCTTGAGTGTAGACTGGATTTACTGATTCATCTCTAATGAACAGAATATCGCAGCAGTAATGGGACACCACTTCTGAGACTAAGTTATAGAAAGACTATGGCTTCCACCTTGGGGGCGCGTTCTTCTGCTCTTTCACTTGGATCATTTGCTTTGGGGAAAGCAGGCTGCCCTGTGAGCAGCCCTATAGAGAGGTCCACACGGTGAGGCCCGAGGTCTTCCAACCACCACATGTGTGAGCTTCGGAGCAGGTGTGCCACCAGAGTAGTCTTCAGGTGAGACCACAGCCCTGCCTGACAGCTTGACTGCATTCTCATGGGAGCACTGATCCAGAGGCACCCAGCTGAGCTATGCACAAATTCCTGCTCCTCCGAAATTGTGAGATAATTCTTGTTTTAAGCCACTCCAGTTTGGGGGTAACATGGTATATAGCAATAGATACCCGAATAATGGATGTGGCTAGGGAAAAGATTCAGAATGTTCAGCAGGAAAGGAAAAAGGTCACTCTTTGCCTGCATAACCTCTTCGCCACTATCTGGAGGAAACCTAGTTGTGGTATAATAAAAAATACATTTGGTCTTGTTCCTGGTTCCTTGCACAGAGCTCCTAAAGACCTTGGAATTTCCTGAGTGATAAGAGTAACAGGAGAATCTTTTGTTATTTTTAACAAGCCCCTTTCAAACATACCTGTGTTTATGCTAATGAAGTGACTCTTGGTGGGCCCCTAGATAAGCGCTGTGATAAGAAGGTGAAAACTTCCAGCCCTTCCCCTCCTCTGTCTCAAGTTCACTGTCTCAAGTTCAATCACCAGTGGACAATAATTCCATGCATCATGTCTACAATAAGACCTCCATAAAACCCCTGAGCAATGGGGACTGGAGAGCTTCTGAGCTGGTGAACACATCCACGTGCTGGCAGGACGGTGGACCCCAACTCCGTGGGGACAGATGGCCCTGTGCTCGAGGCCCTTCTGATCTCACCCTGTGTACCTCTTTATTTGGCTGTTCACTTTTATCTTTTATAATAAACTGTACTAGTAAGTGTGGTATTTTCCTGAGTTCTATGAGTTCTAACAAATTATCAAACTTGAGTGGGGGTAGGAGTGGGTGGTTGTGAGTATAGTTGAATTTGTAGCTAGGTCAGATAACCAAGGGACCCAGTACCTGTGATTTTCGGCTGAAGTGAGTGCAGTCTTGCGGGACTGAGCCCTTAAGTCTGTGGAGTCTGATGCTGAGTAGTTAGTGTCACAGTGGGATTGAATTGTAGGTCACACAGTTGGTATCAGACAATCAGAGTTGGATAATCAGTGTTGGAAAAGACACCATGTATTTGGTGTCAGGAAACACCTGAGACCAGTCTTCACATTTTCTTGACTATACTATCCATAGTTTTATTTTCTTTTTAAAAATGTGAACCAAATGTAAGAGCTTAACTTCCTGAAATCTATAATGAAGCAAAAAATGTAATGGCTCTGTTCCCATATTTCCTGTTTTCTCATTTCTTTTTTTTCAGCCCCTGTTGGATTATTTCTGGAGCAGTTGCTAATATTGTTGATCCAGTTGATTTTTTCTAAGGCAGTGATATTTTAAAATTTGTTGTTTGATACTTGGAGTTGAGTAAGAAGGAAGATACAAAGAGGATGTTTTATAAGAAGTGTTAAAATGTCATCAAATATTTTTGAAACAAGTGAGTTTTTACAATATGCTATATAAAAACTTGGTTATATAAAAACTTGGGAAAAAAATTGATATCACCACCACAAATGTATCATATTGATATATAACACAAATGTATTTACCTCTAGCTCTGATGCTCATGGTAGTGGTTTAAGGGAAAAGAGGCCAATAGGAACTAATGCTTTAGGTTTATTGTTTGTGAAATTTCTATAACTCTATTCTACCTGTCCCCATACCCTTGCCTATATTGGAAAGGAAAATCTGAACAAATGATTTTGGGTGGATCTCTTAATCTAAACTGAAAACCAATTATATTCACAGAAATCAATGATGACTGTTCTACTTCTTGTGCAGGAGTTTAACTTGTTATTTTAAACAGCAACAATAAAATCATAAGGAATACATTTATTTACAAGATATTTCTCCCAATAAAATTGTATATATATATATATATATATATGTGTGTGTGTATATATATATATATATATATATATATATATATTCCTTCTCCACCCTCAAGAAAAAAATGGTATTAAAAGTCAATGTCTATCATTAGTAATAACTTACTGTCATGGAGATATAATGCAAGTTAATAGATTGAAAGTTTACACGTAGACAAGACTTTTGCATATCTTCAAGTAGAAATAAAATGATTTCATGTTTAGTAAAGCAAATAGAAGCACCATTTAAGCATACTAATAAAAGAGAAGAAAAAAGAGCAAATGTTGCAAAAATGTATTTCTTATTCATGTTAGTGCTTAGTTCATAAAAAGATGAAGCATGCAGTTACACAGTTCAAAAACAAATAAGGCTCTGTGATCTCAGTGGTCAGACAAAAGTGTTCTTTTTTTCTTTTAAAAAATAGAACATAAATTCTCCTCAGTAAATGCACAGAAAGATCTTTTAAATGGAATGTTGAAGGAAAAAAATTGTATTTCAAGCTATAAAGTTAGCAATTTGACAGTCACAACAAATTTAACTCTATTAATATTGGCTAATTCTAAAGACTTTGAGTATGATTAATTACACCTTATCCTGCCACTCTAAGAAAGCATCTATCATATCCATACATTTATTTATTTCCATTTATTCAAGGGGGAAAATAGCATACTTAACTTTAGAATCACAGTTTTATGTTTAATTCCAGAACTCTCAATCACTTTAGAGACATTAGCTTCATCCTCTCTCTACCTTGGTGGGATGGGGAGGAAATAATCATTTGTCTCTTTTTTGTCTCAGGCTTGAAAGACAATTGTGGAAGTAACTAAGGCATAAATGTGTCTACTTATAGTCCTGATGGAGCCTGTTGGACAGTTTCTCACCTTCCTAAGGTTATACCAGAGGTTCTCAAAGTGCCGTTTCATTTATCCTTATTAATGCACAGAGGAGGGAAAGTTCATTGATATGGTTTCAGATTCCACCTCACTTAACCTTTAAGAAACTACCACTTGTAGAGTTTGGGCTAGGATCAAAGAAGAATATCCACAATTTATAGAAAGACTTTAGTAAAATAATCTTCCGTTGTCCAATGACATATCTGTACCAGGCTGATTTTTCTTCATCTACTTCAACCAAAAACAACAAATTGCAACACATGGAATGCAGGTATTAGAATCCATTGACTTTCTATGAAGCCAGACATTAACCAGATTTGTAAAAAATAAAAAACAAAATTACAATGTCACTTTTCTTACTTTTTTTTGAAGATTGTTATATTTCATAAAACATGTTATTTAATTAACAGAGGATGGGTTTTCTAAAATTTTTGAGTTTTAATTTCTAACACAGAGATGTCAATAGATATAACCTACATAAACATCTCTTTCAGTCCTAATTTTTAAGTGTGTGAAAGGGTTTTGAGATCAAAATGTTTGAGAATGGTTGGTACAGAATTGAGTTATAAAGCCTGGCTTTGCAAGCTGGAATCTAGAGGTGCAAAATAACGGGAGATCCTGGCATTGTTAGGAGTAGCTTAGTTAAGACTTATTATTATAAGATAATGCAAGTAAAGCACTTAGTGCGGTCTCTTGAATAAAGTAAGCGAACAATAAATGTTTGTTGTTCTTATTGTCCCTATCTATTGGCTCAAAAATGTTAGCTATCATTATTATTAGTAGTAATAATAATAATAGATGTATTTCATCTCTCCAATTAATTTGTAACATACAAGGTAACTTCTTGTTTCTTTACAGCCTGGGTGGGGCTATATTCAGTACCCCTTCAACTTCTTTTAAGAAGTAATCCTATATTTACTCAGGTGAATATATCATCATTTTATGATATATCATCCAACTGCTAGAGCATTTAGGATCGCAAAACCAAAAGTGTGTAAGGTAGCGAAGTGACAGGTTTACTATAAATGAGGAAGGAAAAGGAGAAAATAGTCATACCTATTGAATTTTCCTAAATAAATTCCTTTAAAAAAATCTTGCCTTTTTGACAAGGGCTGATGTAAAGTTTCAAGTTTCTGCAATCTCCTAAAATGTCTAGTAGAAAGGCTATGACAACATATAGTTCTATGTGATAATACATTAATGTGATTTAAAAAAAAAGCAAGCAGTTATTCTACTGTATTCACAATTCCAATGAACCAGAATAGAGGAAGGACACTGGATCAGGGAAAGGTAGGGAAAACCAGCCAAAATATGATTCAAACACAAAACAATTTGGGGGAATACTCTTTGAAATAAAACAAACAATACAAAAATTAGGTTATGTAAGTTTTCAGGGCAATAAACAGGAGAATAACTATATTGGACTATAAAATGATTCTCAGAGCTGTTTTCACATATCTAATCTCATTTAGTCAAGGAGAAATAGGAGATTGCTACACTGAAAATTATTCACCTGTATTTGTCTGAGTAGACAGGTGGGAGTGAGATACAATAGAGGAAACTGGCACTAAAATGAAATTAAGCTCTTACATTACTTTTAATGAAGAAACCACTAAAGCTAG